TTGTACTGTTCCTCGCAACTTCTCTTTTTGAATTTGTAGGTATCCGTACACTGAATTGTTTCTTGTATCTTGTTTAAAGATGCCTCAGAATTTTCACACATTTTTCTCTCAAACGAGCTCAACTTTTGTGAAATTAATGTATCCAAATGCCCGAGTATTTCGTTTTGTGACTTTCCAACCGCAGCCTGTATCTGGTCCGACAGTGTGCATAATGATAGAAACTATGATACTAAATTAACTGGACTGCACTGCTAGACGGAGAGCTAGAGAATGACTATTCACCCGCACACCCACCCTTACCTGGGCATACGCACGTGCTCTACGTGCCTGTGAAGACGAACTATTCCCGCTATACTACCGAAACGCGGGAATATTTAATTCTCGCGTTAAAGGATAAAAAAGTAAGTGTACATCTGATATGGACATGTACCGCATCAATGTTTATTAAAAATATTACAGGTTTTTATACTAAAAAGGTATTTTCTCTTCTTTAAACACACAGTTTTTAAACTAGTTGCAATATTTATTCAAACCGGAATGTGCAATGTTATTTCAGAATTACTTTGGCAATTTTATAGAATGATATTTTCATGAATGATTGCAAAAAATTAAGTTATGTGATAAACACAATCTTTCATTCTTTTCTATTTGGTGTGAAATTCAAGGAATTATACATATACTTTCTCTAGTCTATGGTGTAAAACGGTGGTATATTTTCATTAAATCATATCACTGTAACAAGACGTTTTGAGAAAATTATTGAGAGTTGTTTTACAAAATAACAATAATTTTTCGCAAAATTATTCAAGTTATTTGATAAAAATGGTACACACGATGGACAGACAGTACATGGAACAGCTGTATACGTTGTTAAAAGAGTGATTTAATGCTTGGCAGGGAAAACTGAAATATTTTTTCAATTACATGTTAAAGATTTTCTTTTTCATTAAAAAAGTATCTTCATACATTCTCACCCTAAAACTGTTCCTAACATACATAGTTGTTTCCTTTATCACCACAAAATATGGCCTCTTAGGAAACAAATTTACAGTGTGTTGAATAATGCTGTAATCAGGGTTTAAAAAAAATCAGTGACCGAAAGGGGTAACTTTATACACACAGCTAGCAAAATGCTTTTTTCTCCAGTCAAGCGGAACCTACAGATGAAATGTGAAATAGTCTTTCAACTATCTCAAGTCATTTCATTTTTCCGCTCAGAAGTAATTAAAGAAAGTAGTAAAGAGAAGGAATTTGGAACAGATGATCATCTTGCACCTAACCAGTATAGTTTCAGCTGTCAAAAAGCAAACCAAATCAAGGTAAATTTGGACGGGACTAGGTCGAATTATAGAACTACTGGTCATATGTGCGCTTTAATATTTCTATAAAGATATCGATTGAAGTTTTTATTTGCATGTCCGATGAACTTTCTGAATGTTTACCTGGTAGGGTATTAAGAACTATAAATGGGTATTTTAACACATATACAGATCCATTGATATATTGCATCATTAGTTTTAAATTGTGAAATATCGACAGCTGCTTAACATTTCTGGTCATTTGGTGTCTTTGCATTACATCATAGCATGCACACTATATAATGTAAAAAGATATCGATTGAAGTTTTTATTTGCATATCTTATGAACTTTCTGAATGTTTACCTGGTAGGGTAGTAAGAACTATGAATAGGTATTTGAACACATATACAGATCCATGAATATATTCCATTGTTTGTTTTAAATTGTGAAATATCGACAGCTGCTCAACATTTCCGGCCATTTGGTTTTTAGCAGTGCTTGTTTCCCATAATTCATGTCAAACAACTTGCTCTTCTTATATAGTAAAATAATTACTGTCTGTGCATCACATCGTAGCATGCACACTATATAATGTACTTTCCCTTAACAAATAACTCGACATTATAAATGTTGTCAGCCCATATCTTCGATAATTGAATTCAATTTGTTTTAATGTTTTTGTTTTGGCAACAAAATATCACAACTGCGTTGTATTATTCACGTATAAGGATGCATGGCATTTATTAGGGGGAAAGTGGCCAGGACTAGCATCGCTTTTGAATAATCAAAACATTAGACTCTGTCTGATACTAATAGGTAACAGATTCCACAGTCCAATTGCAGAAGGAAATAAAGGTTCTCTAGAAAACGTCTATTGTGAGATAAGGCATAATTTTCTGAGTTTCGAAGAGCATAGTGAAAGTTATCTAAAAAGTTACGAGAAACGATTTTTTCTGTTAATATTATTTATACAAAGGAATAACAAGTAACGGCCATATAATATCGATAACTGGGGATTTCGTATCTCAACAGAGGATTTACTTTTTTCATTGAACATTTATTGACATATATAATCATAATTCATTATTTAATCTAATAATTTATCTGATATTCCACAGCTAGCTAATTTCAGCTCCAGTCCTCCATACCAAACCCTATCCAAAATCCTTACATGTCACAAAACACGAAACACATAGGTCGATTTGTTTTCAAGATTGACACATAAATCATGATACATTTCAATGAGCTTATGAACAGTAGATTGTCTTTGTTGAAAACTGAAATGTATGTATGAGAGAAATACCTTGCGGGTAATTATTTATTTCAAATATTTGAAGTATTATCCCCCTATTTCAGTGTAGGCAACATAAAGCAAGTTTCATTGTCTCGAGAAAGATATATCTTCCGAGAGATGCGGAAATTAAAGATGGAGAGTATGCTACTGCATCGACAATGATTTTTTAGCATCGTTTGATTTATAGTGTAAAAAAAAGTTTAAGAATGCCTAAATGTCATTAATAGTGGAAAGAATGTCCGTGACATTAAAGTCGGTTCGGAATTCAACAACTTGAACTTCAATGTCGATATGGTCAGTAGTAGATATGGATATGGACATTAATGTCGTATTCCATTTCCATGTTTAGGTATCGGCTAATTTGAATAGTCTGTGGAGAAGTTATCAAAAGTTTGTTTACGTCCGTATAAAAAAAAGTTATTTTGTCCTGTTTTAAAAAGACTATTAACATTATTGGTAAAATGATTAGGAGTGCGATTGGAATTTTATTTATGAAGATGTCTGTTACTTCATATAATTTCGCGTTTCGTCTCTAGCTGTTTCATCTGCATTAGGTCTGATTGTAACTAATTATTTATGAAGATGTCTGTTACTTCACATAATTTCGCGTTTCATCTCTAGCTGTTTCATCTGCATTAGGTCTGATTGTAACTAATTATTTATGAAGATGTCTGTTACTTCACATAATTTCGCGTTTCATCTCTAGCTGTTTCATTTGCATTAGGTCTGATTGTAACTAATTTTGAATTTGTAAAAATTTCGTACATCTCGTCCTGGTAATGTTATTCTAACTTTGTGTAAAAAACTGATTATTTTTATATTATGATTAAAACCGGAGTTCAGGTTTTTGTTTGTTGTCTTGCAACTGTTCGTGATGTACTCGTATCCCACTTAGCTAAGTGTGTACAGGATATCCCTTAAGTCACTGAACTTATTTCATGTTACATCCATAGCATTACATCATCACATTCTATACATATTCATGTATCGGCAGTCAAAGATCAAGATTTAAGATAAAATTCCACACATGTCAACTTTGAAATAAAAAAAATTGTGAAGGAGATATGTCCAGAAACCACGACAGATTAGTTCAAAATTTACAGGCCATGAGTGGGTGATATAGTCTTCGTAAGTTTCTGCTCGGGTTACATTGTACCCATGTAAGTATTCATAGTGTTGTTGTTACGATGCATTTGGTATAGGAAAGTCAAGAATGAATGTCCATGATATATGGATATTAAAACACATTCACGATCGGTAACTGATAAAATATATTTTGACCATATTGCCATGGCAGAATTGAAAATGAATCTGGACAAATTCTGTCATCACCTAACAATGAATCTCAGCTTCTAGCTGTCCTACCAATCATGGAATGAAGGCTACACGACTTTACAGTTCTGATCGAATCGATAAGAACCGACGACAGTTTTATCGCAAGTATTAAAAACAAGCAGGAGTATATCTGCCGAATAATTGATCACATTGCTGTTGATGCTGTGCGCTTTCAGGGGATGTTCCTATTCATCATGCTATGCATTATCAAATGTGCTGTAAGGGCTATTCATTATCTCATAGCTTTAACTGAGACTGTATAAAACGTACAAACGGTTAAAAGGTGCTTTCGGCCGTGTGAGTGCATCTGGAAGTCGTCGAGCCCCTTGGAAGTCACTTGTGTGAGTCCTATAAATCATACAACGCATTACCTACTGTGCGATATGGACTGTTTATGATCTCATGGCTTTAATTAACAATGTACAAAATTTATAAACGATTAAAACGTTAAGGTGCTTTCGGCCGTGTGTGTGCACCTAGAAGTCGTCGAGCCCCTTGGGAGTCACTTATTTGAGTCCATATTGATGTCGCGTTACATAAAAGTAATCGGATGTGCCTTCCCATAAACCGTTCATAATATTGATCGAAAGTGAACTTGTGCCTTCCTACGTATCCCCGTATATACACCATGATCAAACATATACAACAATGACCTATCCTGTGAAATTTTACTAGGGCGATTGCATAGCTATCAGTAGATATATAGCCCATCTACCTGTTCATTTGTACAGTTCAGTACCCTAACCTTCAGTACTCATGACCATGACACGTTTATATCACGATGTCACATTCCAGCTATGCACCATAAACGAATATTGACTGCATCTGTAATCAGGATTATAACAAAGGTCATTATGAGAGGTCAATCTGGACTGACCTTTCACTCCTTAGACGGCCGCCCACCATTCATTTTGGATATATTTGTCAAACTTTTGTAATTTGTGGTTTACTTATATTTAGACACGAGTATGATTGATTATTTCTTGTGATTTAAAAATAAACTTCCAAATTGTGTTCTAAATAAGCTGGTCCTTATATAACAACGACACTGCTAACCGTTGACTTTACAGCCATGGATACTAAAGATGCATTGCGTGCGGGTCTGAGGTCAACACCAAAGTATCTCCCAGTATGGTACCGCTATGACAAAGCAGGATCCGTCTATAACGACAGATGCCTCATGGAAAACACCTTCTATTACTTCTACAAGTCCGAGATATCTATCCTCGCTAATAACATTAAGGTATTTATAAAACGTGACGTGATCCATTCTCGAATACTACTGTGATCTGGTTTTGAAATATCGGAAAAACCTAGAGGGAGATTCAGTTATGTGAAGGAAGAATAATCACCAGGAATATGGAAGTAAATCAATATAACTTAACCTTTTAATTATTTCTATTCAAGTCAGTTTTTTCTCTCTTCTTGTATGGTCATCTTATTTTTTATCGCAGCAAAATAAATATAAGGTTCGACAGTGTATTGCTACTGTAATAAGTTACAGAAGTTTTTCATTAGGAGATAATACCTGACCTTGCCGAGGCTCCACATCTTGTTGACATGGGCAGTGGGAACAGCGAGAAGACCAGAGGATTTATTGACGCATTGCTCCAAAAGCATGGCCATATTCAATACCTCCCGGTTGATATATCCGAAGGTAAATATTTGCCAATGAATTCTGAATTATTGATTTCACTGTTGTAACTATGAAATGGTGTTGAGGTGCCCAAATATTCTTTTCGTCTTAAATAGGCATGATCGATATATTTGTTTATGCATCAAACACACTTGAGTAGTAGAATACCAGCTGCTTCTGCAGCCATCTATGTACGTCTTTAAATGATTAAGTACATCACAAAATCGATAGAAACATTGAGGAGAAATTGCTCTTATCTAACATGTCGATAATATGACTCCTAGACGGAAGCTCTGTTTATTGATCACTGACATTTGACTGGCGTGCAGCAACTCGCAGTAACCGGCAATTTTACGACTGTTTGAAATTTGGTTAATGTATTACTGTTCCAGTTTTAACAAAAAAAAGTTATACATTGTGTTATATCAGTTTATACTATAAAACTTCTGATTTCGCAGTTTTTACAGTTCTTTCATCTGATTTGTTTATCATACAAAGTTTTTAAAATCTATTTTTGTGTCAATGTCAACATTACATAAATAGTGTGCAATCAATATATGGCACGAGTGAGTTGGTCTGATTGAAACAACTGACCTCATGTTTTTCATTATCAGTGGAGGCTTTAGGTACAGAGCGACAGATTGGCTCCTAACTACATGTACAGTGTCCATGTTTTGATATTTCATTTCAAAATAATATGTACATAACATTTAGAAATTTTTGAATTGCAAACATAGTATAAAACATCCACATTCCAAAGATATTTCTGCTTTTATTCGACAGTTTTATTGCAACAGGTCAGCGAAGATAATATATAGCTTAACTTAAGCAGAAATAATTGTGAACGTATACTTATGTAATTTTACGTAATATCGATATTAAGTCTATTGTACGTTTTAGCAATTTGTACCAAGCAATATTCAATGCTGAAACACAATTCCATCATCTGAACATATACATGTTGCTGTATTTTCAGAATTTCTCTCCAGCGTGTCAGATCAGATATCTGAGATTTACGGAAGCAAGTTAACCATTAAAAGCGTACCTGGAGATTATGACATAGGGATAGAGAAACTGAGGTAAAACAGCAGATAGTCATAATGAATAAAATTATAGATTGTGCAGAGCAAAGATTTGTTACTGGCGATCTAAAGATAAATAAGAATCGACAATCTTTAGTTTCCAAAGAGAACGTAATGCCTTCCTGTTCATGTTCAGGTAGGCGGCGTTAGGATAAACGCATTTTTATACACAAATACTTAATAGACCGATTATCGTTTAAGGAAATTTCCTCTTATTCTTTCCTGCTGATAAAGCATACTAATTCATACACTCGGCTAAATACATCAATATCTCACGGTAAATCGATGTTGTTATATGCCCATGAAATACAATTGCTATTCCTATGTCTTTAATATACCGTATACCGGACTTTTTTCGCCCCAGGGTATTTTGGCGCTTGTACCAGGGCGAATTACTCCTTGAGAGAAACCTTTATTTTATATTTGGTATACATACTACATGTCAATGTTTCAATCTACACAGTATGCTGATCTCAAAGACTATCTATTCAGAATTATGAAAAAATATAGATCTCCAGAAAGACGTCACAGACAGTACCTTCAATTCATAAATGATGCAACGTATTTTTCAGTTGGTATAATTTTCATGATATGTTAATGAATTCTGAAGATAGCCCAAACGTGGCTTCTATTTTTTTGGGTTGATGCAATTGTAAGACATCGATAGTGGAGAAATGTATTGTAACGACATGCTAAAATGTGTAATCGAAATGTGAAGAGAATACGTTTTCCCCGCTTCAAGTGATTTTGTCGGTAAAAATCGATAAAGACGATAACAATTACGGTAGTCTATGTGATATTCTCTATCAAGGTGTCAACTTTAGTTAACGATATGAAATATGAAATCATATCACATGGTATTGTCTCCTACTATAACTGGATGATTAAAGAAAAGAATGCTACATAAATGTCAATATCGATTTGAAAGAAACTACGGAGGAGTCTGCCAAAATGATCTCTTTTCGATGTCTCTCTACGATGTCTTGTTTTATCAATCTACTTTAGTGAATTAAGAAATACCTTTACAATTGTGAGATAGACAAGATGAATTTTGGGTATGTACACAAACACCAATATGAAATACACTTATGACAGATACTCAATGCAGAGAAATATTTTAGCCTTTTCATATGCCTCTACATACTTTCTGACCTAAAACGATCGCCAACTTTAATATATTAATATACTATTTTATATAATATATTATTATATTAATGATTTGAACTGATCTACCTTTTCCTTAGTGGTATGCCAGGGATAAAGTTAATCACGTGGCTTGGAGGAGGATTCCAAAACCAGTCTTACGAGGACCAAGTGCGTCGTCTTAAACTATTATCAAACGTTATGACAGGTATGTAGACTCTTTGATGTATGAAAATAATATCAGTTGATTACAAAGCTCAGGATGTTTTTGTAAATGTCGTCATGGGTAGCTTAGTACCCATCGTACCGAAATAAAGTTTTAGATGATAGTGAATGAATACTGTTCTCCATTAAACCCTGCCAATGATGTCGATTCTTTTGAAATACACAGTCCCTCCGAATTAGTTACAATCATTTGCTCAGTAATTTCTATTACTTTTTATGGATATTCATGATATATATGTGTTGAAAGTTTTGTTCAAGTTTCACTTGAAATGATATTTATAAAGCTTGTTGTTGAAATAAATGATAGCTCGAAAGAATCGATATCATACGGTTATATGAACTAAATTAGTGTAACATAATAGCTTAATGATCGGTAATCGGTACATTTACTGGAAGCTGCAATACATAGCCAATGTCTTTATGGTCATGTTATAAATATGACATCATACGATACTGGTGTTGTAGATGGGATTGGTATATCAGTAGTAGCTTCGAGAGGTTCGAAAGGGGTATTTTGACATACCTTTCATAAAGTGTGTTGTTGATTGGATTAACATTCCAGCAGTAGCTTGAAGAAGGTTGCAAAGGGGTATTTTAATCAATATCAATTTTATACAAATTCATACATGACAAAGGGGTTGAACATCAGACAAAGCATATTACAGTCCTCTCGAACACATGACATTTACACTGGGACAAGACAAAATATGTTAACATAAAATATTGTCATTAGCTGATAATAATAATAGTGATAATGCTTGGGAAGAAATTCCTATATACCTGACGGTGGCATTATCTAATCTTAAAAACTGTTTTGGTTACATTTTGAAATATATCTATTGAAGTAAAAACTATATATTGTTTATCACTAGACTATATATTTGATCTTAGTTGTTTTAGTCTACAACGATTTCTTAAATGGCAGCATTAATAGCTCGATATCACTATACATCACACGGCAATAGCATAGTGATCTATTTATATTCACAGAGGAATGTCGACTCATCATAAGTCTGGATATTACAGACGATAAAGAGCAGATAGAAAATGCATACCTTGACCCTACAGGTTTGTCATTATCTTTATATGTGTGTGTGTGTTTTTTTTTTTTTTTTTTTTTGCAATTAATTTTTCACCTTATCTCCCACACAGATTATATTCTAATGCTATCATTGTTTTACGTTCATCAAAATGCTTGTTTTATACAAGTATATCCATTAACGTTCAACACCTGCTCATAATGAATGATTTTTTTTCAATGGAATGGAAAATATATACTGCAAGATAACATTTACACAATAATTATGTATTATCAATTTTGAATTATTTTGGTATATCAGGAATCTCGGCGGACCTGTACCGCAATGCGATAAATCGCTTGAATAGGGAGTATGGCAGTTCTATAAACACAGCCACTTTAGTTCTTGAGGCAGAGTACATACACAATGACAGGCCTGAGGAAACAAGCTACGTCACTCTCTGTGGGGTATCCCAAGAAAAACGAACCCATGATATACGTATGTATTTTACATTTTAATGATTTCTTGATATATCTGAATGTCATTTCGTATCGTCGAAACTTATATTCATCAAAGGAAACATTACCTATATCAGTCAATTGATTTTGTTGTTAAAGGCAAAACATAGTTTTGATTGCACGGTGTCCTGCTAATTAATTTTGCTCAGATATTGCGATCGTACTGCATGTCATTTGCTACAATGAAATATTTCAAATTACCAACGGAGTTTTAACGGATATTCCGATTGAGTATCATCTTTATAAAAGGCTTGAAAATCACATGATTTTATCGATTTTGAGAATTACTTACATAAATAAAATATTTTATTTTTCATTAAAGAAGAAATCAAACGCTGGTATTTGACAGTGTATAAGTAAAATTTTTAATTATATTCAGAATATCAATTTCCTAGAGTTTAAAGATGTTAATAATCTTGTGTGTTGCAGCTGGACTAGGTATAACTATAAATCTGGAGAAGGATGAACGATTTTATTTACATGAAGGTAAAGGTCTAAGCTGTAAGTACAGTATAAAACAGATTCAGACACTAGGTTTATGTGGCGGGCTACACTTGGAACATTACTGGACGGACACATCCAATCACGTGGCAGTATGCTGCTTTTCCACTAAGAAAAACTCATGACAATATATTAAGTCTTATATCAACTAAGCAAATTAATTAAAAATATGTACTGTGCAATTGTGTTCTGTCCATTTATTTATGAATGTGTTCCCGTTACCCTCCTGATATAGGCATATCATATGGTTAACTTACGGACGGATTCCATTATGCGGGTTCTGAAGGTGAACTTACATACTCTTTTCATCGTTGAACATAGGAGTCTATGTTTGAAACCATCATGCCTGAACATTCCCTCTGATGAATTGTCTTTCAATAACAAGAAATCCATTGACCATATCCATCGTAAATACTCATCAGACATGAAAACCAAACGTCACGACAGATTTTTCTACATCAACCGAGTACCTCGATCGTTTCCCAAAGGGTAACCCGCTTCCATCAATCTGTATGATAAGCATGATTTTTTCATTTTTTCCATCGTAAAAGCTGCAGACATGCATCCCCATCTATGGTGTATACATTTCGCAGTTGATTCGATATTCAAGGTTTGTTGCTAATATCACGATTTTCCTGCAATATATCAGTAACTGACGGGCAAAATGGGTTTCGAGAGTTGCTGGTTGATAAAGATTGTAGGGAAATTTTATGATCATCATCATGATTTCGTTGGGAATATATGTAATCTATATTTCCTTGTGTGATATGAAATTGAAGGCGTTTGATGGTCGTTAGTATGTCCTTTCTTGTGTTTATATTTTACCATAGTGTGATTTAATTTGAATTTGTATTAAATTCTGGTTATATTCGATATTTTCTTGCTGTTCATGTAAAGAGGTCCTATTTCGATAATGTATTTATATGATTCTTTAAAATTGAAAATAACCGTGACAAGGTTTAAGCTAATTTATCACATATCACAATCAAGTTAAACCGATCAACATAATTGCGTTGAAAGTTGAATTGAAGACATCCATATCCGTTTTGATTAAGTATTCGAACAAACTGTTGAATAGGAAATCAAATGTCTTTAAAACCAGAATGAGATTTCTACATGATAACATATAGATGCCTACATCTAGAGTTGTATCGTTTAGAAACAAACGCGAAGCGAGAACAGGAACCAGAGGGAACAGAAACCGAGGATTAAAGTGTACAGAAAGCAAGGTGATGTATGCACTAGAGACTAGGTAACTAGGAAAACAAGGTTAAAAGTATACATAAAAAAATCCGTATAGTGGATGTGCACAAAAACCAAAGTTTATGCTTACATCAAGTTTGTGGCAAGACCTAAAACCTAGGATATATAATAAGCAGGCTAAACGTGAGAGCTGAAAACTAAGCACATTTAAAAGTGAAAATTGAGTACAACGTATAAAAGCAACCGAGTATAATGTTTTTTTTTTGTTGACAACAACAATGAAGATTAATATAATAAAAACAAAATACTTCCATACTACTTTGTGATAAAGTCCAAATTTTTAACGAAAAAGATATTTAGTTGATAAGTTGCACACATGCTAAAGGAGGAAATTTTCCAGTATTCAATCAGTTTCAAATGAAAATAGAAATGTATATGAAAAGATTAAAATGAGACTTCAGTAAATTATCTCCATCAATATAATATTTCATATTATTTCATATAGCAACATTTTGATATTATGAAGTTACTTATGTAAAGGTCATTGACAGAAATGTCAACTTTAATCATATTTTGATGTCATTGAATGCCACGATTAACTTATAACAAACGCGTACATGATTTGTGATTGTGAAAAAAAATATAAGGAAACTACAAGTAAATACAAACATGTCAACATAACGATCGGTGTGGCCATGGGTGATATTTTTGTTTATCAGATTACCCCATTATAAAGGCTTTAGTTAAAATTTAAAAAGTAAATCTTTGCTAAAATTAGTCTTGTCTTGTTGAAGTGGACAATGTGTGGTTTCGTTTTTTCAGAATAATATTTTTTAATAATAGTTTTGTGTTGGAGGTTACTATTTGGGCAGTCTCGAATCTCTGTCTACGCACCAAAAACTAGCTTTACAGGAATTGAAATTTTAATAGTGTTTATATGTGGTCATGTTGTGAAGGATTTCTGGGTTGAAATTTGCTGAAATGTAAGTTAGTTACCAAGAAAGTGTTGATGATTTTAAGACTTGTGTTCAGAAATAAGTTTCTTCTATAAAGTTGAAGTGTTAGGTTGGAATTAGCAATATTTCTGCGTTTTTTAAAAGCTTTTTTGGAGTTGGTAACCATGGCAATTACTTGTCAGAAATTAGAGGAAAACTTACGCAAATTTTAACTCTCTGCTATTACTGTAGTTCTTATATTAGATATATGTACACATGTAAGGATGTATTTTTCAAAGGCAAACTGCTATACCTGAAAATCTCAATCATGACCAATGATTTCAGAAAAAATGCAAATTAACTGTTTCCTGCTACCTAAAACTTCAACATAATTTTCATCAACTTGCCTCTTTTGAAACCATGTGTTACGGGTTTGTCTGTCAATGGACGGCTTCTTGCGTAAAAATAATGATACTTTCAGCTTCGTATGAAAACACGTCTCAGCCAGCTGAGGCGCACAGTTAGTTCCCATAGCTAGGCCAATAGTCTGTTGGAGAGTCTTTCCACAAAATGCAACTACCACCGAAATAAACGTAGTCAAGTCATATAACAATTATGAAGCCATGATATTATGCCAAATTCAACAGTAGTGGCATGACATTTGCAGCTCTTATAAATATCATTAAAGATAAAAGAAAAAAGAAAAAAGATGAGGAAAGTAACTTATTCGTAGATGAATAGTTTAAATTACAGCTCTTTTATACCGTCTTATATTGAAGACATGTCACTGATGTGACAGGGATTTAGTGAGGATTTACGACATGTTATTGTAGTAAAGTTAAGATATTGCAAAAGCATATTTGTTATAACAAAATGCATAAAATTCGATTTAAATTAAATTTTGAGATTCTTGATGCTTTGGAGACGACTGAGAAAAATACAAACAAATGTCTAAAGCCAACCTCGGAGATGTGCTAAACCAAATACAAGATAATGGTAAATATAGTATAGTTGGCTGTCTCTTAACGTCTTAAGTATGGAAACATGACACTGAAAGCGACCTTATTTTATCACGGTTATCTTTCGAATCTTCGAATAGTGCAAGATTATAGCGCAATAGGTCAGTAATAATACAGCTGTGTTTACACTACGTGCAGTTGAAATAAGCTCAGGGATGTATTTATTCTTCATAACGTATATTTTATTAACGGCTTTACTCGTCGATGCAAACATCGATCCAAATATGGAAAGTCTACAAAATCAGATTATCTCATTAGAACGAATGGTTCAACAAATTAGTGGCCAGCTCACCGATCTTAATCTGCAACATACACAATTGGAACGTAAACACTTCATACTTTTAGATGAATTAAGAACTCTAAGGTAAGCCTGTATATCGATAATTTACTCAATCTTGTATATTACCGTTATATTGTTGTTCTCTCTTTCTGAAGTGTTTTTTTGTTTGCAATATCTACACTTGATGATGCAGCAAACTTTTTTAAAAATGGTTTTTCATTTCTAACAATAGAGTTGAGCGATGCAGGGACGAGTATGTTAAGCCTAGAAATACCGCAGAGAGTAAACAACAGAAACGTTTATGTGAGTAAGCTATCAGAATAAATGTCTTTTTTAAACATGTCTTAAATGTTAAGCTATTAGACAAAAATTTTGACATTTTGTCGTTAAAAAGTGAATTGATTTAAGTCATGTTATAATGGTCTTCCTTCGACACCCTAATTAGGACGTTTATCATCGGCATCACTCTCTGTTTCTGTAACTGTATTCATTGTTTTTTTGCAGTAACTCAAGGGCAGAAAGGGGACAAAGGTGATAGAGGTGAACGGGGACCTAAAGGAAACCCAGGAACATCGGGATTTAACGGAGATGATGGATTTAATGGTAATCGTCTCATATATGTCAAAGCAGGATGGTATTTAAGATATTGACGTTCAAACGTTATCATTTATTTCGGCATTGGAATATGCATGGCAGAAATGCCCTTGAGACCTTATCTCATTTGTGTTCTGTGTGATATATGTTGATAATACAGTTATTACACAGTTCTTTTCTTAAATTGTCCCACTGGGTGTGGTCCGAATGACAAGAAAAATAATAACAAGCAATATTTGGTAGGATATTATATTTATATGAAATTCTGACATTTTTCAAAATCAAGCACCATGAACTGTCCGTACAATTTAATTTTTCATTCCATAATGACCAAGATTTTGTCAGAATGAATAAATATTACGATGCTCTATAAACCCTAAGCACTTGCTGACACTACTGATATTGAGTGGTTTTCTGCTGGGGTCAGATGAATACTGATAATCTTATTAATTACTAATTAGTGGTCTTCAAATACATTAAGAAGAATAGTGTTTAGTTTGATTTAAAAAAATAGAGTTTATTATAGTTTAGAGAAACCACAGCGAAAGAATTGTAGAATTACCGGACACTCTTCCAGATATCGAATACCACTGTAAAATATACTTAATGATACATACATTACTTATGTTTTCAATCTCTGAATTTCATATAGTTAATACTATTTCAGGTGATAAAGGGATGAAAGGGGACAAAGGCAGCATAGGCGCAAAGGGTGCACCAGGCCCTAAAGGTGAACCAGGATCGTTAATATAATTGTACAGATATATTCATCTGATGCATCTTTGATAAGATAACTAAGCATTTCTATCACTAAATATATGTTATAATACGATATTTGTCATCATCCAATTATCAATGGTTCCGCTCTTAATTTATCTGATTAAGAATAGTGAAAAAAAACAAGCATACGGATTAAAAATATAGATATAAAAGGTGTTATTTACTTGTGTGACTTTTATTTAATGCTAGGCCCCAGTCGAATCGTTGCACGGTTCAGAATTTACATACCTACACCTGACATACTTATTTTGAGATATATGAAAAGTGCAAAATATATAATTATTGGCTTAGTGCTCATCCCCACTCCATGTTTTGTCATTTTACTGATCACTTAAGATTTTCCTCATTAGCCGCCGAAGGTTTCTACTCTTAGAAAGGCGAAACACCAGTGTGATGCAGTTTAAATTCTCAGTTAATATTGTTATTATTTTTTTTTTACAATCTTTTGACATGTTTATACTTAACGTTTAGTCCCTTATTATCACTGACGTGTCCTTGTAGGCCAAAACCTGTAATTCTGTGTTATACTTATCAAAGTCTAAATTTGTATTGAAAGGTGCTATTCACTTGCACGTCTTTTGAGATTGCAGTTGGTGGACACTGATGGCGGACCGGATGTAAATAGTAGCATAAATATACACATACTTGACTAAACTGATTGAATTTTTGGTAAAGTGCGGATTTTGACATTTATTTCGACCAATTCAGGTGTTCCTTATTCGCCTCCTATATCTTTGATAACTAGTTTCGTTTTTGTAGGACACATTGGCCCCAGGGGAAATAAAGGGGAACCAGGTCAAGCTCAATCAGGTAATGCCATAGACTAAACTTTCGTAGCCAATATTTTTCTATCAATTTAAAGATCTTACAAAGGAAAACAAATAAGAATATTCTTTAACTCAATAAGTAGATACTATTCTATATCATGAGTAATATTTCCTCTATTTCGTTAATTTCTATCAAGATCACGAAATTACAATCCATTCAAATTAAACAATATTGTTTAAAATGAAAATCGCAAAATGACCAACGAAAATAACCAACTAAACGGTAACTTCTCACAATTTTTTAGAAATGAAGTCAATGAATATGTAAATATTTTAATATTTTCTTTAAGGAACGAAAGAGGCTTTTTCCTACAAGAATATTGACAGCATAACTTTGGACAGATCGCCTACTATTTTGACGTTTAATCGCACAGATTTAAGTTCTACGGAAGGCTACGATCCCAGTACAGGCATATTCCAATGTACAGTTACCGGCACTTACGTCGTCACATGGTCTATAGAAGTGGAACAAAACTCAGCGGTACGGTCATATTTATATAGAAATGGAAAGACAATGAGCTTTCTATCTGTAACTTCTCCACTATTATCGTCTAGCAGTGGTTCTCAGTTCATCCTTCTACACCTTGACGAAAACGACAGACTCAATATTGAGGCACAGTCTATTTTGAGAGATCAAGGAATCATTACTCACTCTACATTTGCAGCATTTCTACTGTAGTGACGTTTTATCAATGCAACACGACTTGATCATATACAGTTCCAGTGTTCCTATGACCTAACTGTATATCTTAGAGGTCTAAATTGTACTTGCATTGCAAGTAACAAGCAAAATACATTATTGTATGTTATGTGCTTAAGAATAAACGTTGTCTATATCTAAGTGAAAATTATAGATCTAGAGTATTTTACAATCAAATGATTAGTCTGATATATACATATATTGATGATAAATATCTAAATAACCGTCTATTATTGCATTCATAGTCATTCTTAATTATTTTCCTGTCAATGTCTTATATCAGATTTATACTATGAGTTTTGCCCCTTGAGCCGTTGAGCATTCAGTGCATTTGATAGCAATGAGAGATGAATTTTATCTTATATATCTTTTATATGTCATAGACGAGATTCTCTAAACGGACTTTAAAGATTTTAATAAATTAAGGGTCGTGTTGTCTTGTCGACCCTAAAGTCCTACCATATTGCATATACATTAAGATAATTTTCCGCCTATCGTTAATGTTATCAATGTAAACGCAGGCAATATCTGTCGTCTACAAGAAGTAGAAGTAGTTCATACAGATAGTCACGTAAATGTCATCATGACTGATATATATAGACTTACAATCGTGTTACACGCCTATATTCCATTCTTGCAAATAGATTGTGTCATTATATAAAGATAATATCACCATTGTTTCCATGTCAGCCAATTAAAGCTGCGATATTGTGAGTTACCAAAGGAGTGAATGTTAAATTCAAACATAATGACGTGTTCCTTTCGAAATAAGATGTGGATGCTTTTCTCTCACCTTGTCTATCATCATCATATGCCGCAGAACCATAATTTTCATTATTAGACATTATAAGGAAACGCCAATCAGCTGCATTCTAGTTCTCAATATGTTAACTGTATATTTCATTTAATAAAGCCTGATATTTCATCATCAATAAATCCAACGTTATTTGTTAGTATATTGAGTATCGTGTGATTGTCGCGGTTTGACATCATAATTATCGGGTTAGTTTTGACCCACAACTGAATATGGTTTGGCTAGTTAGCTTAATGTACAGTGAAAAGACTACCACGTTGTTATTTTAATATACAAGGAGTTTAAAATAATTAAATAAATCATGATATAAATTAAAAAACACAATCGTTTGTTATGAAATTATATTCTGGTATATTTGAATGACTTGACAACAAGTTAATATTCCCATGAATTTTTATCTACCTTTAACAAGTGACCCCAACAAGATAACCATACTTAGCAAGTATATTTCTAACTATCTGATGATTATCACTATGATTTAAAATTCTTTTGACAATGGTTTAAAGAAATTTAAAACTTTCGAAGGTTAGTTTTGATTGATCATCAAAATCAATTTAAAAGTAGGTATTCACTTAAGATGATTAAAATAACTAGCGATCTCATAATTTTCGCAACACTTGTCAGGAATTCTTCAAGCAGCCGAAAGTTCTGTATTTATATCACATCCGTGGTATTCAACATGTATTTGAAGAAAACCTTGTCTATTGTAATTTCTAGTGGATGGTTTAAACTGGGAAAGATGATATAGGAGTGTTGAGCCAATAAGTGGTAAGTGTGTAGCAAACCGTCTTCCTACGTCATATTAACTTCAGTGATAATTCGTTCCTTCTGTGCACTCTTCGGTGGTATATATTTTTCCTCGGTTTTGCGTTGAAACAACAATGTGTTATCGCATTACTCTATAGCATGCGTTACCTTTAATTAGCAACTGCTCGCTACGCCCAGTGGGTGTAGAAACAATTATAATCGACGTATACACAAAATTGTTCAAAAGACACATCTGGTCTTTGTTTATCAAGAAGCTGATTAAGAGGTAGATCCTAGATCTCGCGAGATAACTAAGAAAAAAGAATGGTTTTATCTCGTGATTCTGATTTTGGGGAAATCCCTGTACGAAGCATGGAATCCCAGGCTTGATTATGAATGATGGTAAACATGATCAATTTGAATCTATGGCTGCAATAATACTTATACCTACATGTCAACCAAAATAATCGATTAAATAAGGTAAGTCTTTTTCTTCACTTGCTTGTTGTGATATCGGTCTTTGTTTAGATCAGTAATTTTGATTGTAAGCATCAGAAACCGGTGCTATATATGACGTTATAAACTCAAGCTATATGTTATTAAACCATAATTTAATGTGATGCTATAAACCAATGTTGTATGTGGTGTTATAAACCAATGTTGTATGTGATGTTATGAACCCATGTTGTATGTGTTGTTATAAACCCATGTTGTATGTGTTGTTATGAACCGATGTTGTATGTGGTGTTATGAACCCATGTAGTATATGGTGTTATAAACCCATGTGGTATATGGTGTTATAAACCCATGTTGTATGTGTTGTTATGAACCGATGTTGTATGTGGTGTTATGAACCCGTGAAGTATATGGTGTTTTACACCTATGCTGTATGTGATGTTAAAAACCCATGTTGTATATAGTGTTATAAACCCATGTTGTATGTGGTGTTATGAACCCGTGAAGTATATGGTGTTATAGACCCATATTGTATGTGGTGTTATAAACCCATGTTGCATGTGGTTTTATAAACCGATGTTATATGTGGTGTTATACACCTATGCTGTATGTGATGTTATAAACCCATGTTGTATATAGTGTTATAAACCCATGTTGTATATAGTGTTATAAACCCATGTTGTATGTGGTGTTATACACCTATGCTGTATGTGATGTTATAAACCCATGTTGTATATAGTGTTATAAACCCATGTTGTATGTGGTGTTATGAACCCGTGAAGTATATGGTGTTATAGACCCATATTGTATGTGGTTTTATAAACCCATGTTGTATGTGGTGTTATAACCCATGTTGTACGTGGTGTTATAACCCATGTTGTATGTGTTGTTATAAACCTATGTTGTATGTGGTGTTATAAACCCATGTTGTTATTATAAACCCATGTTGTATATGGTGTTATAAACCCATGCTGTAAGTGGTGTTATAAACCCAAGTTGTATATGGTGTTATAAACCCATGTTGTATATGGTGTTATAAACCCATGCTGTAAGTGGTGTTATAAACCCAAGTTGTATATGGTGTTATAAACCCAAGTTGTATATGGTGTTATAAACCCAAGTTGTATATGGTGTTATAAACCCAAGTTGTATATGGTGTTATAAACCCATGCTGAAAGTGTTATTATAAACCCATGAGGTATTTGGTGATATACGTGACATGCTGAATAACTAAACAGACAGGTATGAAACTCTGTCCCTGGTTCAGGTCGTGTTCTCTTAATTTATTAATAGAATGTATTACAAGCTGTCAAAATTCACAACGTTTACTCAGGTAAGAAAACCATCTGTTTTAACAGGTTATAATTGAACCGAGAGATTGAATCAGGAGTCAGTATGATAAAAGAAAACGTTGATATATCATCGCACTGATGAACATGATAAATTAAAAATGATACTAATAGTCACATTTATAGACTTACTGGTAATAATGTGATAAATTGGGAACTGACAAGTAACAAGTTTTAGGTATGAAATGAACATCTGGCTTACTACGACTTGAACCGTGTACACAGACAATATGAGACACAATCACTAATATGACCCGGTAGATAGCGCTATTTTTATTGACGAATATACCGACACACGAATGATATGCTGTAACACATTAAAATCAGAAAATGTCAATTTCTGATAAAAAATGAATTTTTTTCGAAACCCGATAATTGAAAGGAAAAGGAAGACGTCAAACATGACATATTGACGTCTTGTAACCATAGTTTAACTGTTTCCGGTGTCATTTAACCGATCAATCATTGAATAACGTATATTTCTGTCATACAACAGAGTTGAAGTCATTATTGACAGTCAGATCAGATTTGTAGGTCATATTCAAGATAGTAACATGATGTATTATAATTGTTAAATTGCAAAGTTATATATTGAAGTACATTTTGCTTCAGTGGTTAAGTGTCAGAAGGTGTCGCCATGTGCCAACGACATTCATGCTGTGCAATCTTAGCCCTAATGTTCGTGGTGGTGGTAGCTCTCCTTCAATGCGTCGCTGTTGTAACACCTTTCTGGGTGTACGTGTTTGACGGATCATATCCATGCTACTTTGGAATGTGGCAGACATGTTATGAGGGATCGACAGATGGTCATTATATCTGTACGGACGTATTCCAGGACAGCAGATATAGCGAGAGTAAGTACATGAAATTCTTGGTGTTAGTAAAGTAGAAATTGTCATATTCCTTAATATTGTAAAACCAAATCAAAGGCTTGCTCGTGACTATCTCGCTGATAAGGAGACCCGCCGCATGCTATGGAGATCAATCAAGGTAAGGAGTCTTGACCGAGATCACAAGCACAACAGTCGAGAAAACAACGATTCTCTGGGTATAAATTGAACCCAACGACTTTAAACTTTTCGGATCTTCATATGATTTTGTTAAAATTGTGGTCCCCTATGATTTAATGTAAAATGGTAAAAGATCTACATAGGTTAGGTTAAAGCAGAAGACGTTTACTCTTCCGAAACACCTGGTCTTATTTTACTTGTACTGTAGTAGGAGTCTTCTTGTAAATGTTTCTCTTGCTCATATTTTGTTCATGTTTTAGGAATTTGAGTTTGAACACTAGTTAAGTTGCCATGTTGGTATTTTCTTCTTTTTGTTTTTGTTTTCTTAACTTCAGCCTAGTCCTGTAGCAGCTTTGGTTCGTTTTAATATGGCAACGCTTGAAAATGATTAATTCTGGTTATTATAAGAGAGGACATTAAATATCTAAAGTTGATTTCGGTATATAACATATGTCCACAAGTTTACTAAAAATGTTGCTACAGTACAATGTTATAATATTTATTTCAGCGTGGTTCTACCAGGTGCAGGCTTTGGCAGCTTCCGGACTTGTTGCTTCACTGATAACAATGACTTTAACTATCCATCAGCATTGTGGTGACCGGATCGACCGATGTGTGACTGGTCTTCTCTCTGCGATGAGTTACATTACATGTAAGTGAAATGTTCTAGTAATTCTCAACGAAATGTGAAGTATTTATAACCAGATATGAACGTAAAATAATTTTTCATATAAAAATTATCAAAAATGTTGTACCATATGATTAAATCTCATTTTCAGTATAATTATCAGCTTCAATCAATACATATCATAACAGAAGAAATATCCTTATTTTTCACATCGCTAAATGAAGTTTAATGAACCGTGACGTCATAGGACAGATGGTAATTATTAATGTTGGAATAGTTAGCATTTCAAAAATCATTTTTCAGGCATTATCATCATATTAAGTCTCGTCTTTTTCATCCGAAACGTGAATGGGATCGGCACGGTCTCCGGACAGACATTTAACTACGTGCCCTATATGTCCGCTTCAGTCTATGCATCAAGTGGAGCTGTGATCTTCAGTATGCTAGCAGGGTCTGTATTCGTCATTGTAGCTCATAACACCATCAAAGCATCAGAATGCGACAACACAGAGGACGGGATACGACCAAACGATACATGGGAGGAAGGAAATGATGGACGGATATCAGATAGGCGACCCCGGTCTAATAAAATATACGATAGTAAATGCTATTTTTAAAAGAACATTACTACAGTTAAGTTGTTTCATGTGAAGGTCCAAACACACAGGCTTTGTACATATTATCACCGCACATTGATTGTGTATCTGTACTAGTAACAGCATCCATTGAATATTTGTTGTGTAGGATCCACTACCAATGTTGGACAATTGTGTCGATATTACTTACTAGATTCTATCTATGTATATATTTAAATAGAAACACATGTGCGTTTCCCCAGAATTTGCAAAATATCTTGAATAGATAACCATTCCTCTATAATTTTAATGTTGATATTCGATAATCACATAGAAATAGACTCACACGCGATTCCGTCCTTCTACACACGCATTGCCAAATGATGAAATAAAACTGCATAATATTTCGTCCTTCCAGGACTCGTCGGTGATGCCGAGGGCCTTAATAGCTGAAACCTCTGAGGCTACTGATGAATATAATGTGTATTGTTCCGTCGTTAAAATATCGTGTGGAAATTTCCGATATTATTGTAGCAATTCCTTAAAATTTGAATTTTTACATTTTTTTTTCATTGCAAATACTTATGACTACTGTAGCCGTAATTTTACGACTGAGGCTTCAGGCACATAAAGTAGTCTATCGCCAATCCGTATAAATTGTATTATTAACCAATGGAAGTCCCGATACACATTCACTCCGTACTGTATGTGTCAAATGACGTAATTCCAAATTCAAAGAGGGAACCCAAAACGATCTTAAACAGCTCTGTCGAATCTACTGACATGATTTCCTCAAACATCTTCTGTGAAATTTTCGTGGTAAAGATAACCAGTGTCTGAACTGCAATATCTCTACCATCTTTTGTTTAAAGTCGGAATACATTATGTGGTTCATGGTGGTATTACGTGGGTTATATCGCCTCTACACTTATATCTCAAATACGAATTCATATCGCATTGCTATTTAAGACAGGGATCAATGTAAATGCATTGAAAAATTGGACGTCGGCGGAAATCTGATGAATATTTAACGGGAGACATTAATTATTGAGAGAATGTTTCCAACTATTTCAATAGTCTAGAATATAAGGCACGCTTCGGTATAAACAATAATTACTTATCATGCTGGATTTGATTAAAAAGTAGTCTTCATTGGAAATTAACAATTCTTGTGAAAATTGATACAAATCTCTCGATATGCTGAATCCAGAAAGTATTTCCTTTTTAAATTGTCTTAGAGTTCAGAATATACCTGCTGAAAATCTATATTGAGAAGAATAGTTAATTGCCAGTAGTAGCTTTCGTCACCCTGTTATCAGTGTAATAACACATACATTACACACCTTGCTTTGTTTGTTTTTAAGAGTTTCATATACAAGACTTAGCGGGACGGGAATCGGCTGAATGTTCCTATTGTCAAAACTTTATGATTTTATATTCATTGTTACCAATGAAAGGGACATAGAATGAGAATATCGCCAACTGTGATTTGTTGTTTTCATGCATGCTTGATTGTTTTTAAAGTTATGTGATAAACTAGTTCTAGAACATATGAACACTTATCATTTCATTATTGTGTTTAACATGTTTTTGTTATCGTTTTTCGTTGTATGTTTAAAGATCAAATGTAACATACTTTCTTTATATACGGAATGAAGTATTCTGAAAGGTAACAAAAATGTGAAATAATCGATATTTACAAACATGTAGTGATACAAATGTACATTAATAAATAGATATGTCATATTATTAACACAAAACGAAGAACTGTCCATGATTACAAAGAAAATAAGATACACTTCTGTTGATATTTGTATAAATCTTTATATTGAGTTTTGATAAGGTATGCTGTACCGAATTGTCCACTATATACGCTATTATGTACCGAATTGTCCACTACATACGCTATCATGTGCCGAATTGTCCACTACAAATGCTATCATGTGCCGAACTGTCCACTACATACGCTATCTTGTATCGAATGGTCCACTACATAGGCTATCATGTACCGAATGGCACATTGAATAGAGATTATATGGAATTGGTTAATGAAACGATTTTTAAACGGCTTTGATCGGACTTAATTAAAGATATGTAACGTACTTTCTGAAAGCCTGTTTTACTTTAAAAGTTATTGTTTATTTTTGTATACATGCAGCTACATATAGGAATGATATAAATTTTCAAATGTTTTCGTTTTAATGAATTTTATATCAAATCAAAACTTAGCTAATGTAGTTCTCCACGTGTTACTACATTTAATTTTATAAGGTGTTAATATCTGAACAGTTAATTCAATTGATCAGTCTTCCGAATGCCTTAATTACAGGAAATCAGGCTCTTCAAAGTTTATGATACATTTGGTTTCTCAAATTGACAGTATAGAAATGTCTGTATGTTATGGAGTTCTCTCCCTTCTTACATTTTGTTGCTTAGCTGCCAATAAATAAATAAATAAATAAATAAATAAATAAATAAATAAATAAATAAAAACATGCAATCAATCAAAATTAAAATCACGGTACGTTTTTTTGTAAATTCTTAAGAAGAAGAGCTTCCCATGGCTACAGTTTATCAGTAAGTAACAAAATCGCCAGGACCATGTTCACATGCACTGGACGACCTTCCAACTCTTTGATCGTAAGCATAAATATAGCACCTAAAGAGTAGGTGGACAGAGATTCAAACCTATTTGGTGTCTTTTGAGGCCTTGTATCCGGAATATACAGCACATGTGTATTTTATCACAGAACATAGCATTTTTTTCATGTTAGATTTGAAATTTCGTACTGTCGGTGTTAGACTTCTACAATTCATTGTTTCCGTGTGAAGCATCAGCTGTCGACACGTCATCACATATGGAAAAAAAATGTAAACAAACATTTTTTTTTATTAAAATCCCCGAAAAACACATGCTAATTTATTTGCAATATGATTGTTATCTAAAAATATTATTCATGTTGGATTTAGCGTTGAAATATGTATAAAAAATACATATTTTTTGAAATTTGTTTTCATGACAGTCAGTATCTCATAACATGTTTATTTACAACCTCATTACAGATTGGTTTAAACACTTAACTAAGTCATGCATCCCCCCCCAGATAACAACATTAGTGTAGTTAACCACAACATTGCGCTAGCGGCTTATCACGATGATACACGTGGACAACCACAAGTGCGTAACAACGCGATAAGTGATGTCCTCGTCTACGTCCAAAGTGCGTGTGAGTACGAGTGCTGCATTTTATCATTAAACTCCCGGATCTGCTATGTACAACAGCCGAGGAAGAAAGGCAAACTTTCCACGGGTGCACAATGTACCTATTCATTGTGATTTGATAAGTGTCTCCTTCAAGTTTGGGAAGAAGCAGTGTAGTTACATTATCGTTATACTGGGTTTGGCGAATACGTAAATTCTCAAATAAAAAAAAAGATAATATTAGGCTACTAACTACAGATTATTGTCTGAAGTGAAAGTAAGAGAAAACGATATTAAAGCAGGGAACGGCAGACATTAATAGATCGAACTGTGATATGTGTGATTTCAATACGATGCATGTACGGACGAAATCCAATATTACGTCACTATTTGTTCACATTTACTGGAAATAAACACATATCACCTAAATTAAGCCAATTTGTGTTTCTTTGTATTGAATTATGTAATTACGCTTTTAAGTAATAGATATGGTATTATTTAATTATTGCGTTTTAATGATATTTTGACAATCAAAACTGTTGATCTTTCATTTTTGAAATAGCTTTTATCGTTTCTATCCCACGGAGAATAGAGTAGAAATGTGTAAATAAAAATAAAGTGTGATGAGATTAAAAAAATTAATATTCTGCTTTGAGTTTCACTTTAGTTGAATCGATTTCCGATATAAGCAGAGGTACGCAGATGTTGTTTTTCTGAGATTTGGCAAATTTTAGACCTGGCTATTAATGACATATGGCATGTAAAATGTGCCTACCAATGCACGGAGCAGAACGTAGTTAGTGGAGGGACTCAATCATTGACCACTACTGAACTGTAACATTTACGGGGTACATTTGGGAAATTTTCAGAAGAATTCACAAGAGTGGATGAAACGAGGACAATGTACAATAATAATAAGATCAATTCTTGCCAACAAACAAACAAACAAACAAACAAACGTATTTTGCTTCATCGACAACACCCGTCCTGTTACACGTGGCGAATTTAAGAAAGTAATATGACGTTCTCAAATGAAATCACGGATGAAGCAACGAAATTAATGTGCAAAGAATACATCCATTTTCATTACATTACAATATTTCCGAATGGGATCACATCAACTATACCATAAAATACATCCAACTGCATCTCTCATAATCCTGTGTTGTAAGTTCATCTCTCAGCTATCGATATCTTTTATGAACAGTTATATTGGGAACAATCCCTTGACGTTAACTGTATATAGATAGTGTCAGTTGGGTAAATCGGGATTTAAAGATCAAGAAATAGAACATTTGTAATCTATTACGAAACTGAAGTCAATACCCTTGTTATACAGGTAAGAAGAGGAGAGCTGTCGTGTTAAATCCGTCGCTTTACAACGCTGAAGTGAGCGCGGCTTATGTAGACTTGGCAAGGTCATTGCGGCATATTCCAATCAGTTCAAAGCAAAAGCAAATTATCCAAGAGAGGGGCATAGTCTGTACCCATACGAGTAAGTCAGTGTCTTAACGTACTGGAAAACTACATATAAAAATTCGAAATCCCTGGTACATTTTGAAAGCACCATTAAAAAAAGTTAAAAATACTTCGGAAAAAACTCCAAAAACAATGTCACTTCTCTCACGATAAATCACAAAAATACTGGAGCCATATAAAGGGGAGATAATTATGATGAGAATCAAGTATACTTTTTCAGTCTGAGACAGATTTTTTTCAGACCGTGTGTTCCGGAAAAGTAAGCATCTTTTTTTAAACAATGGCATCCGCCATGTAGATCTTGGTCAATCAACGTAGATAATGTTACGTGTCCATTTGAGAACAAAGTACAAAACAACGAAACCAGTTATATGACTTTCTGTACAATATTACAGACTTGGCGCATTAGTTTCGGACCCCTTAGGAATCATTTCTCAAAAGTTACGCTATGTCGATGAATTGCTACCAAATAAATGCACAAACTGGAATCTGTTATTACTATAAGGTTTATTAAAAATGACCAGTGAAAAACCAATATTAAAAAAAAAAAAAATCCAGAGATCCGACCTCAACTTCGCTCACCTAAAACGAACGACATGTGTATCGGGCATGTGACTGCACTTACGTTTCTGATGACATCACTAAATCACAGAGACGCTAGTGCTAGCTTACTTTGATCCATTTCTAAAAGGTAAAGTTCACAATTTTATGGTTTGATCCTTTTTCCTCAAATAAACCATATTTCTTGATAAACGTCTTTCTCTTATAACACAAACTGTTTAAAAAAAATCATATCTCGGTCTGCAACTCGCTAGTTAAATAAGATCTGAAATGAGTCATTTTCCAATGTTATATGTGCATGCTGGAACTTACGTAACCGAAAAAATTTCAAAGAAGGCGTGACCGATTTTAATTCACTTGGCAACGACAACAAAACATGATGAATTGATGGGTTATTTCATCATTTCTTGGTGAATGCTTGATATGTAAAAACTGTATTTAGAAAAAATACACAGATTTGCCAATGAAATATATACCCATACTATTTAGTGTTGAATGGTTTACATCACAATTTATTTATTCTTGCAGGAAGCGTGATATGTTTCAGCAACCAGGTCAATAATTCATGTGACACGACAAAATGGTTGTTCCGAAATACACGACGGTTCGGAACCGATGTCGATACGATTTTTCATATTTCCTACCGATGTTGTTTTAAAATTTGTTTTTGAAAGCAAAAGAAAATTCCTGACTACACTAAAAGTATAATATTATTCATAAGGTACTTGGTCATTTATTTCACACAACAAGGCCTTAACTGAGCAATTCTAGAGAAAGATATTGAAATCTGAGAAGAATATAAACAAGTTATATAGTGTATATTGGACGATGACATGTTAGATAACTGTAGAAGAACTTTTGTTTTGTACCAATGAGAATGAATTTATCACAAGAACAAATTAGGCATTAAAACTTCAAAGTCGGACCACTCTCTTAACAAAATAGGTGTTGGGCCATATGTCAGACTTTGTTTTCAAAATAAAGTAACGCCAGAAAGTCCGGATCGTTTTGTCGTTTCTGGTATAGTTTACCTGATACTTGTTGATTAATCTAAACAAATGTTTTATTTACATTGAAATTATGCAAAAGTTTTCATCCTAAAAATTACACCAGGTCACACTTTATTGATGCACTGAAAATGAAGGCAATTTTCCCATGTATGTGGAAATAGATTCTCAAACTGATAACCAATTTTACTGCTGTTGATATCTCCCACGAAAAACGTCCCTCCAATCGCACTCCTCCCCAAAACAAGGCTGCGTGATAAACACAAGAAAAAATGGACATGTAAAACTATCCAGTGACGGTGTGTGTTATGTATCAACTGGGATATATATTTCACCAGGTCACTTCCGGTTTTCCTCTTGGTATCAAGTTCTTGAACATGTTGAATTGACGAAATACTTTCTATTTAAGTATTTTTTTTTCAAATGTATCTATTTTCTTGTATTCATGAGTTATACTGTATATAATACCGAGTACATACTTCGGGAAATCACTTGTTAAGTTTCCCCTGGGCCCCGCCGCAGGAGGATATTTACAGAACTATACACAGATACCACAGATTTACACGGAATAACAAGTGTTTAGCACAAACAGAAATTCACTCTCACGGACTTCGAAATCAGCATGGACATCGTATTGGTGTCGATGTTCCTACAAGTCTCCATATTTGGTAAGTTTATTTAATTGTCTTTTGAACCCAACCTTCCATTTAATTTTTATTCATTATGTGTAAAAGTTGAAAAAATTGAATTTTTAAACTGATAAACAAGTCGCATTGAAATACAAGTGCAACAGCACGCGCGTGTTGTAGAATCTTGTTTTTTTTAGATGCGAAATAAGTTTGATTATTTCATACATGTATTTGCCTACTGGCTACATAGTGAGTTCCAAAATGTTCACCAGACATTTGCAGCAAACAATCTATGTTACATATATAATTATTTAGGTAATGTTTGATATTAAACAACCTTGTATATCGGTTTTAGTCATACTTGACAACGTTCCTGATTAAACTTATAAAGAAACTTCACAAATGATATCTCTCTCACACAGTTGCGTCCTACTTTCAATTACAATCAATATATATATATATATATATCTTTTGATTATAATCTAAAGTAGGATGTTTTATCAGCAACTTAAAATAAATAATTCAAAAATGAAAAATGAAACCTCATGCATCCTTCATCATTCATGACCGGAAAAATAGGTTATGTTTCATATCATGGACAATTGGAAGTTGATGGTCGACAACAACACCGTAGCTTGTGTAGGACATGTTACTGTATGCCGTCTGCAGATACCCTCAGATCCCAAGCTCTCAAAGTACGACAAATCTTTTAAAAAGAATTTAAATGCAAATCAAGCTCTTATTTTAAACTACACGTGATTTTCTAATGAGAATAAATTGTAGAAAATATCCACGTATAAATTAGGGCGCCACCATACTTCAGCACTAGGTAAGAAATAGTGTAGGAACGGTCAGTGTGTATGTCAGAGATCAGCGCAGGGTAGGACAGATGTACGATTATGTCAGGGATAAGGAAAGTGTATGACGGGTGAGGGTTTATGTCAGGGATGAAGACCGGTGAGGTTTTATGTAAGGGATAAGGGCAGTATAGGAGCGGTGAAGGTTTATGTCAGGGAGAAGGACAGTGTAGGACCGGTGAAGGTTTATGTCAGGGAGAAGGACAGTGTAGGACCGGTGAAGGTTTATGTCAGTGAGAAGAACAGTGTAGGACAGGTGAAGGTTTATGTCTGTGAGAAGAACAGTGTAGGACCGGTTGGGGCTATGTCAATGAGAAGGACAGTGTAGGACCGGTGAAGGTTTATACCAGGGAGAAGAACAGTGTAGGACCGGTTGGGGTTATGTCATTGAGAAGGACAGTGTAGGACTGGTGAAGGTTAATACCAGGGAGAAGAACAGTGTAGGACCGGTGAAGATTTATACCAAGGAGAAGAACAGTGTAGGACCGGTTGGGGCTATGTCAATGAGAAGGACAGTGTAGGACCGGTGAAGGTTTATACCAGGGAGAAGAACAGTGTAGGACCGGTTGGGGTTATGTCAATGAGAAGGACAGTGTAGGACTGGTGAAGGTTTATACCAGGGAGAAGAACAGTGTAGGACAGGTGAGGGTTTATGTCAGAGAGAAGGAGAGTGTAGGACTGGTGAAGGTTTATACCAGGGAGAAGAACAGTGTAGGACCGGTTGGGGTTATGTCAATGAGAAGGACAGTGTAGGACTGGTGAAGGTTTATACCAGGGAGAAGAACAGTGTAGGACCGGTGAGGGTTTATGTCAGAGAGAAGGAGAGTGTAGGACCGGTGAAGGTTAATACCAGGGAGAAGAACAGTGTAGGACCGGTGAAGGTTTATACCAGGGAGAAGAACAGTGTAGGACCGGTTGGGGTTTATGTCAGAGAGAAGGAGAGTGTAGGACCGGTGAAGGTTTATACCAGGGAGAAGGACAGTGTAGGACCGGTGAAGGTTTATACCAGGGAGAAGATCAGTGTAGGACCGGTGAAGGTTTATACCAGGGAGAAGAACAGTGTAGGACCGGTTGGGGTTATGTCAATGAGAAGGACAGTGTAGGACTGGTGAAGGTTTATACCAGGGAGAAGAGCAGTGTAGGACCGGTGAGGGTTTATGTCAGAGAGAAGGAGAGTGTAGGACCGGTGAAGGTTTATGTCAGGGAAAAGGAGAGTGTAGGACCGGTGAAGGTTTATGTCAGGGAAAAGGAGAGTGTAGGACCGGTGAAGGTTTATGTCAGGGAAAAGGACAGTGTAGGACCGGTGAAGGTTTATGTCAGGGAGACGAACAGTGTAGGACCGGTGAAGGTTTATACCAGGGAGAAGAACAGTGTAGGACCGGTTGGGGTTATGTCAATGAGAAGGACAGTGTAGGACTGGTGAAGGTTTATACCAGGGAGAAGAACAGTGTAGGACAGGTAGGGGTTTATGCTAGAAATAAGACAGTTTAGGACCAGTCGGTTTCAAGGTTCGTGAGGAGGACATTTTTGGAATGGTCATTGATTGTGTGTCCGAGTATTACAGTGTAAGACTAGTTAATGTTGATTTCAGGGAGACTCATTTCCGGAAAATACGAAAATGTAAGACAATTCAGAATGTGCGTCATGTCGATTCACGTGGGGAGTAACGTAGGATAAAACTGTTGGGAACAGAAAACAGGATCCATCCGGTAAGGGATTGACTTGATGAATTGGGCCCGATAAGAGTAATAACATAGATTTAGGGCAGGACGGGAGGTGAAAGTGAGTATTAAAATGGGGAGCTTTTTCTATATAGAAATAATCGGATATTAGAATGCATTTGTGTTCAGCACTATCACGGAAGATTGACATTATATACTGGGTGTGTCTTCAAGTATCTGAACAAATTTTGAAATTAAATTGCTTGGTGCTTGTGACCGATTAATTGGAACTAAAACCTGTTAGAGGAACAGCTAACTGTATATTTGCCGACGCCCGGATGACAGACTGATGTTAATAATTTCCTAACTTTGCTAAAGACTATAAATTTCTCACTCCACCACTAATTTGGTAGAAAGTTCCCGACAAGTCATGTAATCACCTCGTTATAACTGTACGACATATACATGTGCATTTATTTTCACTGTTAAGTTCTAACTTATCTAGTGTGTGCTACCAAATGCCAAAAAACTAATTTGTTTGCCAAGGTTGTAAGGAAGCTGTAGAGGATAACACATTGCCTTGTCATTATATGCGAGTATCGTATCCTTTGTAGTTTGCGCAGATATATTTAGCCTAATCGGAATTATCGATACATTTTCCTGCTTAATGAAACCATTGTAAATGTTGCATTTTCTAACTTTATCCACTTTCGAGAATATTCCATAAAACTTAGATTTTATATCGCCGTACCTTTTAGGCGTTTCTGTTTCAAAGACTGTTAGTGTTATTTACCATGACGTTTAAATTTACATCTTGTCAGGAAAAATATTTCTGTACACGTTTTTGCAGAAAAATGTGCAAACAAATTAAATACTTGAAATATTTGTCGTTCGTCAGACATAAACATAATTTCAGACTCTGTTAAAAACATATTTACACGTTAGCGTAACGATACACATACGTCCTTAAGTCTACGCAAATGTCATATCGTTTAAGTTAAATTTATCTACAAGCGTGATACAGTGTCAGATAAGGCATTTTCTTGTTTAAAAATACCTAAACTTTACTTCCTCGTGTAACTGTTTAAGTGATATTAAAATAGAAGCCACAAATGACGGATAATTTATCGGCGTGAAATGACATCTATGGAAACTGTAACTGCCCACAGCAACAATAAATATATCTCTCATACCGGCTCTCTTTCAGAAATAACGTCAAACAAAGAATGACGTAACGAATCCAATGATCATATGTAAAAAGAATCGAACTGCAGATCCTCTTAATCATATGATCCTTTTTTTTTTCCTGGCAGATATGACATATAACGGATTTTTCTTAATCTTCTCTCTATTCTATGGTCTCTCTTGTTACGTCACAACCTTTTAATGTGACTTCACTTACTTACCAAAATTACGTCACTCCCCCCCTCATTCTGACATGACCAACAAACGTAATTGGTTGCGGAAAAAATGACTCGGATTATTTCTCTAGGATTGTCATCATTGTATTTTGGTCCTCATATTTTCATGACATTTCTACAATGTCGAGGTCGATCATCTGCCTCATCCCAAGGAAAGATGGCCGACATATTTGGGTTAGCGTCAGAACAATTTGATAATGAACAAATTTCCAATAAACACGAGTTCAATAAACATTATATTAGAATGATCAATATTTTTCAGAACTGGGTATGTGACATATTTATCTACTTTATGGGCGAGGCATTACGCAGTATGTGTTTCATTAACGAATACATGCAAAAAGGTACAAGAAAGAAGGACATTAATCGCAGAGTTTGATATTACATTTGATATTGATAACATGTTCCATCTCACCGAGGACGGTTTCCTATGTGTGAATCTATCTATTTTAACAATAGCAAAAACAGCATTACAAATTCCATACTTTGAATGACGTCAGGAAAACCTAGACGCATGCACAAAGCCAAGCACATCCGGTTTGTGGCAAAGCATGGGACTGTGCCGGAAGCTACATATACTCCAGCACGTGTCTACAATGTTCCCAGGAGGATAAATGTTCAAGCTCTTATTTGTTTGACTGACAGCATGGGAGGACGGATGGCAGATTTTAAAGTAATTGCGATTGATATCAATACTGGGACAGAAAAAATAACCTTCATGATGTTGTGTGAAGGAGAACCTATCACCTCTATCACTAACATCAAACCTCCTACATATACATGTATTTTTTCGCTTCATTGTATTTTTGTACGTTTCCCAAGAATAGTGTTTCATCGATAATCCGAGACTTATCTTACTGAAGGAGAATTCAATGCAGAAATAACAACATTGCATGGATTTGTACGTGCTTGCTAAGAGATCACGTAGACGATAAATAATAATAAAAAATAACACAGTATTTTTTTATTGTATAATTTAAGTAACGTTAAAGTACATTGAGGATAGCAATTTCATCACAGTGTGCAAGTAGACAGAGACCGGAAAAGTACAATGAAATGGCTCAAACTGTGATAATAGCGGAAGGCTTGATGCGACTCTGTCAATTTGGCTGTCTGGAACCGTTCTAGCTGGAATACCTGTTAGTTACAATAAAATAGATTACAATATGATACCATACCATACCATTCATTGGAAATCCCTTTTCAGATGAAGGAAACAGACGAGTACTTACAAATATCTAATTGATGTTATTCCTTTGAGATGAGGACCAGCTAAATTTATAATCTTGTCTTAAAATGAATGGATAAATTCTGAAATATTGATGCATGCATGCAGGAGAAATGACAGATAATTACTTATCTCAGCGACCTGAAGCTAACAGCTTTTCCCTACTCTGAATACTATGATATTGTGCTGCCGATTTTTCCCCTAGCTGGTCTTGCTTTGGAGGCTGTGGGAGGTTTCCGTTCTAGAAATATGTTCTGTACCATGTTAATGTTTTAAGGGTTACAATAAATTTCTTCTTGTGGTAGAGAACAGTCCAAAACGTGCTCTTGGTATCATCCAAAGACACCCCTCAAGATGTCGTCTGTAAAATTAAAAACAAAGAACATAAAAATGTGAAACCGTGGAATTAAAAGAAAAAAAATCTAATGCGCATTAATGCAGAAATACAGACGGTAACTAAAAAATCTGAAGGCTTTTTAAATCTTTCACTTACTCATACAAACTTTTTAAAATATGATCTAGAATAGCTACATATTTTTCAAATTATGAAGAAAGAAATCTAACAAAGAGAAAATCCAGCGCATTACTGCCGTTTATTGGGTTTCTGGAGGTGTGATAACACAGTTCTTCGTGTTGGTCTAAAACACTAACATATGCTTGTCAATACAATTAACTATCCATGCATTTTTAGATGATGTGGAATGACGGAAGATACTAAACGTAGTGATAAGAATTAAACTGTATAAACTTGTTAGTTCGTGGCGAAGACGAAGAAAAACAATCACTCACAAAGTTTCGTCTACTTCCACAAAGTGTCCAAGAAACACTAGTATAGATATGTCTGACTGTTTGACACTATTTGTATGCATCGACGTACTAGTTGTATCATGATTGTACATTATAAACTTGTTTCAAAGCCGAAACACAACTGTTTTTTTTAAAATAATGTTCCGATAATTCGAACCCAAGATATCGAAGTAAGTTGATTGGAAAATTTAATTTTCTACCATAAGCGAGTTACATTTAATTGGTCGACGTTTATTAAACACGTGCGGTAACTTTAGACACAGGTCTACGTGTGCTGACGTCTATAGCTAATGATTTTATTACATTCCAAGCATATGTTGTTGCCATTTGAAAATATGGCCGAATGTGTTTTTACAATTTTGAAACTAAACATGAAAACATATTTTTCTTATCACTGTTATCGCCACAACGAAAGTTTGAATGCGAAAGATACTGTCGAAATTTGAAGTTTAATCTTCTTGTCTGGAGATACTTTATAACCAAACTGATTTAAACCAGCTTAATACAGCTCCCCGTCCTGTCTAGGTCAGTGTAGTAATCTCCATGGAAACAGTCATAGGAAAAGAATAAGAGATCGCAAGACGATCGGTCATATGTGGCACTTGTAAACCATGTAGCGGTTGTCACGCTCAAAGAAATTTGTAAGGCAACATATGCTTACATACACCCACGCACATCGGATGTTTGTGCAACCGAAACACAAGTAAAACAATACCCTTTAATTGCAATGTAGATAAGATACAGTCGAGCCAAACAATGAATTAAACTGAGTGATACAGCTGTCTCGTCATTTGAGGACACGTCAGAATATAGAAGTAGTTTTAAATACATGTCAATAAATTAATGAAATGGAAACAAAATATCTTCAGTTATCATTAATGAGCAATAAGGTTTTTATAATCATGTCGCCATTAGCTAAAAAATTGGACAGACACATGTTTAAACAGTCCCTATACTCATAATGCTGTGCCTGGTTCATAAAGTTGACAAGCAGTCCCCAATCTTGAGACAATATTTAGAGAATGTTGCATTTGGAGGAATTAAGGTAGAAAGAGATTAGAGGAGACTTTAAGAGGACAATGGATAAAGTGGGCTGAATTCACTACAGGAAGACCACAATTACACGCATGACTATCGAGTGTTAAATTAAATATCAACTATTGAATTAGGAAAATTCTAATTCAAATTACCGGTAGAGTAATATTTACGTTTCTGTTTCCATGACATTAGCAAATGTCAGCGCACTGGTGATGTGCATCGATAATTGTTTGCAACAAAAAAGCGCTTATGAATGTCAACGTTGGAAACAGAGCAGATGTCTTCTTCTATTCGGACTTGATCTTTGGACAAAGAAATGGTGTTTTATTGAAATGTTCTTCCTAGAGGTTCCTTAAGGAGTCTATTGTGTGGAAGAGGATAATGATCAGTATAATCACTGATAGAGGCTGGATAGAATCAGTTACACCAGGAATCAGGGAGGCATCTGCTGTTTGACGTTTTAAAGAAATGGATATATTTAAATGTGCCTGTCTGCGTTTTTGCCCGTGGAAATGGGCCAGACCCATTATATAGGATAGCATGCCTTGTGAGCAGTCTCAGGCCAATTATTATGTGCATTGCCTCTATTTGGATTGGCCCCAAGATGTTGCATTCCTTTTCTGAACAGTTTGCCAATACTACAGCAACATTAACTGATATAGGATGAATAGATGTAGGTTATACTAAAACATGTGGTTTTCTGTCAATTCTATATTTTGACATTTTGAATATATTTCTTTCTCGATATGCTTTCTCATAGATTATTGGATTCATATCCATCCATGACCACTTTGCCGCCTATCAGATACACATCTGTACCTAATGTAGGTAGCCACTTTAATATATTACCGGTGCCTTATATTTTTCCAATTTCAAAATAAGATCACCAGGCCAAACATTTTCAAATGTTTTACGTATATCATAAAATACCATTATTGCTTCTTTCTCTTTGTCTGAATGTTTAATAACTTTATAATAGACAATTAAATGTGGATTGACAGTAAAATCTTTAGTTTAAAACAGGATTTTAAGCAAAAACTCTTTTAACTAGTATCTTGCACTGCTTCTGCTTTGATCTCCTAGTTTAGTGTCCCACCAAACGGAGGGGAAGTTTTTTTTGCTTTCGTGTCGGGTCAAAGCAAACACCATAAAATTAGTACTACACATACTCACTGTTTTACGTTCAACTTTAGTTGTATGGTAAATAATGGGTATCAAATACACCAAAATCTGGCCGCAAATCCCCGACAAAACTTAAACACAACAAAGCTACAGATATCACGCACGTGGCAAAAATCACGTATCATGAGCTTAAAGCAGGCAGAATTTGTTATAAAGTTTGATCTTTTTTATTTTTTAGTTTTATGTCCAGTCAGCTCAAATACAAAAAAAAATTGATATCATACAGACATTTATTAATAATGATTAAAAAACTGTTTTTCTTTTCAAATAGGCAATACCATAAAATGTTACATAAATTTCCTATTAATGGGGTTAGAGAACCCGCCATAAAGTTTGTACACACGTTCTACAATTTTACACAACTGCCTTCTGCGTGTATAGCTTGTCGTTTGTACAAATTTCATGCGGACAGGCTGTTACTGCAATTATCGACCCTCATTGTCACAAAATCTCCATATACAGCTAATTTCAGAAAGGTTATCCAGTTGATGTTCTCATTACATGCTGATTCGGACGTGTTACTTGAGTTTCCCTTACTTTTATCGTCATATGAAATATCCGCATTATATCAGATAAAGATAACTTAGAAACGTTATACATCTGATCTATAATTTTAAACATAATTGTTTCAAAGAGGAGAAATTCCTTATTGCTTACATTACTGTTGAGAACGAGCACATTTCCTGTAAATGTAATAGTTTAACTGTAGGGTATGCACTATTATCGGAAATTAGTTGATTTAGTTGTGGATTAACAACAATAACATGCATGCCAGTTTGTATCTCCACAATTTGAACATCAACTTATAAACTTGATTTCTTACATTGAAGGCAAAACTATTACAGAATCAAACTCTTATTTGGCCATGTTGTGACGGGTTACTGTGAAGTCCTGCGATATGTTGTCAACAACTCTTTCATCGTTCTTTAATCTCCTGTAACATATATGTTTGTCTTTAACACGATGCCATGCCATATACCATAGGTTTTGGTCTCGCGGAATACGACATCAAAATCGTAGATGTGGATGTTCCATGGAATGAGGCAAGTCAAGGGTGCGAAAACATTGGATATGGCATTTTGGACCCCACGATGGTGTCAAAGACTACACTCGTGTCTCACGGACTGCTTCAGGAAGGAGAACAATATTGGACGAGCCAATACAAGTCAAGGTCTCCATTCTACTGGAAACTTGGTAAGTTGCCAGTCCTGTAACTTTGATCCATACTGCATGGGGATATTTATCTTATTCCTTAGTACGTCGGTTTTCGCCCCGCCGTCATCATTGTTTTGTTGAATAAGATGGAGTCTTAATCTATGAAATCCATGTATCTCCTAATCCAAACTGTTTGGTAAAGATATGCTTAAAATATCACTGTTTATTTCATCGCTGTATTCCCAATGGTTCTTCATGGTTGCAGAAGTTCAATGTTCGGCGACTCTAGTCTAGAGTTGTTGAATTGTGGGATTGTCGTGGATGCCAATATGCAATTCAAGACTGGATTTGGCCGAATTTCCCCATTCTAGTTTTCCTGATTTTAGACCGCTTGTTTCACTAACAAGTCCTAGATGAAGGAAACAATCGTTTTATAAATCGTCATTAATAATACGATATATATGGTATATAAACATTAATACCGAACTTTTGTTATATCATTGGCATTGTGAATTCATTAGTTTGCAAATAATTGATTTATGAATGTATAAAGATAGAATTGTACGTAATAATTCAAAGAGATATGTGCTGAAAGTATGATTGTTTATGACGAGTGTGTGACATTTGTGATACAGATGTTATTTGCCGCAACTGCGTTTGGATATTGTTTATATTGAGCACAGTTCCGAAAACAACAAAAGAATACAAAAAACTTCTACTAAAACCAATGAAACAACAGCAAAATATGAGAAAAGAACATGCATGGAAATTGACCAACAAAAGACATAACCTTATTTTTTTTAGTACCGCATGTCTTCGTTTGTAGTTTATGTGTTCGCAGGGATATGCCTGTGTTAAGGTCAGTATAGTATTATAATGTAATTGAGTGAAATATATTGAACAATTCATTCGATCCCATGTGTTTCGCTTAAATGAGTTTCACAAAGTGGTGTCTCGTTTTGTTATTTCATGTTATTTCAAAAAACCAATTTTGCCTACACAGGGTGCTACGGCGTTACGGACAGGAGCTCGCTGAATGAGACGGACTTTGGAAATGAAAATTCAGTCTATCAGTGTTCACAAAAATGTGGGGACGTGCAATATATTGGATTAGAGGTTAGTTTGAATATATGATAAATGAAAAATGCAAATAGTTTGTCTACATAATCTATGAAAATTGTATTTTTATTGACAAAAATGCTAAGTGTTATTGAAAATAGATTTGTATGATTTGTTTTCTCCAAACTACGTGGAATCGTTCAATATTACAACTGTGTACACACTTCCAAAAGTCTGTATTGTTTTTTTTTTGTGCCTACAGAATACAACTTGTTACTGTTTCCCGGCTTCAGCAAGGTTATCCAAAGAATCCAAAACCCCATGTACGACTCCTTGTCCAGGGAACGCCGATGAAATTTGTGGAGAGTCCGGATCTGGAAAAATGTCAGTGTACCGGAAGTGTGAGTACAGTTATATGCCCTCTTAAGAATTGCTATACCAACCTCCATACAGTTTGAGACAGAGACAAATCTTTTCAACTTTTGTTGAGCTGGGCCGAATATAACGCGATTTAAAATGGTTCTTCCTTCTTTTTTTCTAAGTGATTGTAAAACGACACATTTACCCCGTTTGAAATATTATGCTACTAGCCTTATTAGCAGTACTGATTCATTACTTCTTCAGGTCAGGTTAAATACGTTTGATTTGAACCATATCGCTCACTTTTAATATTTCATTTTTGCAATGACAGGGTAAAGTCTATGGTTTTCAGAATTTTTTTGACTGATATATCAGTATAAGTATTTTTCATATTTTTTTTTCAAATGTTCGAATTTCCTCAAACACTACAGACATTCCTTTCATTCGGTTTGCTTTCGCGAATGTTGTTTTCGACTCATTTATGTAATTTGGAACGTCCCCTCTCCTCGAGTAATCATTGTACTGCATTACCTACGTGTACTATTTCATCAGATTTAGGATGTATAGATATCAATGACATGTAGAAAACAGTGTTCCACTTTAGTTATTTCATTGATGTTGTTAGTGGACGTATCTGAGGATTCGGTGACCCTCGACGGGAATAAAGGAGACTGTGTTACAATCAACAAGGAGGATGTCGAAAAATTATATGATTATTACTCGTACGACGAACATCAGCTATTCACCGATCAAATCTGTACGGAGGAAAGGACATTTTTCTGTCGAAATTGTAAGTCACATCACAAAACCCTTTACAAATATATCCTTGATGTCGTGTAGGTGAAAACTGGGATATGACTCATGGTGACATATTGCTATCACCTCCGGTGTCGTGCGTTGGTATATAAATAACATTTTTGACTTCTCAAAAACCACTAGGCCGATTTCAATACAATTTTGCAGTAACCTTCCATGCCCTAAGATGAACCAAAATAGTGAATTATGCGGTCACCACTATGGTTTATTATAGTTTATGTTGGAAACAAAAGTTTTCGAGCATAATTTGTTTAATTTCCCTTGGAAATGTTTCAAAATTGGTTAGAATTATGAGCAAGAGATGACGGCTAATTGATATGCATATATTGATCATGACTGAGCTCTAGGGGTTGATGGGTGAGGCCAAAAGTCTCACATTTCGAACTGGAGAGGAGGTTAACTTAACTGTAATTCAGAGAAAATTGCATTTTGAGCTTAACATTGTTTACTTCCCGTCGGAAATAACTTTGTATGAATTATTAGTATATGATGATTGTTTTGATGGTGTGCATGTATCGACACTGGCTTACTACTATCAATGTCACAATTTCTTTTTCTTGACACTTGAAAGCTACTTACCTTTTAACCTTTAGAATCAATATTGCTAATTTCAGGTGACTGTCAAGACCGCTGGACCTATTGTCTTATTTAATAAGTAGTTTTATTGTAGTGGAAACACTGAAATATTAGTTAGCGTTCAGTACACATAACCTGCATATGATGATGGCTGTCTTTTTTTGAGATTCTTGCTTTGTCTCCGGTATATGGTAAGCTCATTGTTGATTTGAAACGTCACCTTGCGTTTGGATTGTAATTTTATACAACATAGAATTATGTATATTTCAGATCAGTATGACCCACTTGATATCAGCAGTGAAATATTCATTTTCAACGCAGAAAACAAGACATGGTATGATGCACAGCAATTCTGCCTGTCGCAAGGTAACGACATGGCCTACATCGACGGTTCAAACGCCCTAGGTGTTCTTAGCAGAGACATGATACCAGTAGGATCCGAAAGTTGGGTCGGACTATTCAGAACAACTGTCGAAATCTCAATAGCCAGAAGTATGTTACATTTGAAAATCCAAATTATTTACTCCAATTAGTTTAGATGTTTCGTGAAAATAACCGACCAGTTTGTGAAATGATTATAGGATTTCGAGTGTCGGAACTTTTAATCAGCTGTCTGAGAAACAGTTAATCAATGATCATGATATATATAAACATCCTTTATTACAAATCATATCAAACCGACGTGTTTTCTGGTCGGTGAATATCTTTTATATTCCTCGACATGTTCCTATCTCCCTTCAGGTGATGTCCCCAGTGATCCTGTGTCATGTCGTTCAATCTCTTCAAACGGAAAAGTACTCGAGAAAATGTACCAGCCATGCATGAATAAACTCAAGACACTTTGCATGAGGGGTAGGTATAGTCAGTCAAACAACGGGAAAAAAATAAGTGCTACAATCAGCTTTATATGTATAAGTATAGGTCTAACAATGTTGTTTCAATTTTTTTTCTTTGTACTGAAATAGAAACCATAGGCAGGCGTATCTCATTGAATTACTAATTGAACAGAAATAAGACGGATGCAAAATTCGTCAGATAAGCAAATGCATACTTGTATACCAAACATTGTTAAACAATATTAGATTTATAGTATAATGTATATACATGTACATGTATCTTACAAAATATGTATAATTTTTGTTTTAATCGACCTGATATATCCTGCCTCCTGAGGCTGTGTTCTTCTGGGTAATTATACTTATAACTTGTAACCAGTAAACGTTTTATTTTTATATATTTCCAGATATGTATACTTTTTTATTAGGACGACATTGCTATGTTTAAGCTGTTAATGAATGAAAAAAATTAATTAGCACGTGAAATGTAAAACATATTCACTCATGTAGGAACACTGTATTATATTGTTCTAGTCACACACTGTCACACTGAGTTTTTCTTCAAGTTATAGTTTTGCATGTTTTATAAACTAACTATTTATCACAGCAGCTGTTTATACTAAGCGTTAATGATATACAATATACTCTAACCGTGGAAAGTTTCGCTGAGGTTATTTTCGCGATTACTATAGGTAAACTATACGCATTAGGGTTATTTTCGCGACCTAATGACGGAGTAGCATGGAATCCTCTAGTGCTTGTTATCAACTGGGACCAAACAGGTAAGCAGTTGTATTTTAATTGATGTGTACACTAGTAGGTTAGTAATTACATCGGTTGGTTGATGGTCCGCGGGTGATCATGTGTCAACAAGTTTTCACTTTAAAAAAATCGTTTGTGTTTTAGTCTATTATTCAAATCACAAAATTATCTTATTTGAGTAATAAATAATTAAATAAATAAATAAAAAAACATTAAGCACATCACAAAATATAATGAGCACGGAGAAATTTCTCGATCTAACTACGTTCGGTAATGAGCATAAATTTTCCCCTCACGAAAATTCCCACATTTACAGTATATAGTATTTCATGAATTTCCATTTTATAATAAAACTAGCTGATTATTGTTAGTTTGCTGACGTATGCAAATGGGATCCACATATTAAGGGCCTAGTGATGAAGACTTGTATCATCAGAAACAACTGTAATTACACATTCTTTGCAAGATAGCATATTTCCAACCAGTCACATTATACTGACCAAGGGATAATCGGTATTAGTGCATCATAGTCACTGCTTAGATGTGATGTAAGCTGGTCTTGGATATGTCATGGGTTTGGACCAAAAAACCCATAGTCTTACTCTTCAGGGCGAACACGCTGCACAAAGTCAAAGGGAAGTAGTTTCCAGAGAGATAATAGGAGAGAAAAATATTGCTAATAAAAAAACCAAAAGTAAAACATTTTTATGCGACCATATAATGGGGCATCAGACAAATTGTGAACATACTTTATATTACGATTGTTTCTATTCCTAATGTTTGCACATTGAAACATGTGGTATAGTAAAAAAATTTCGAAACATAATTTTAGAAAAAAAAAACACCTCTTTTTGAAAAAATAAATAACAGTGCCGAGTACATGTACTGAACGGTCAAATCGGATACATGATTTTTCGACAACACTCTATGATAAATAGAGATCATAGGCTATTGAAAATGACCTACATGTTATTTAATGCAAACTGCAGGCTAAGATGACACGTTGATATTTTTGCATAATACATTTTCAAGATAGAACACATATAAATGCCTTTATAAAATGACTATATCAGCGTTCTGATCATTCCAATAACAATATTATGAATGGTCTCTATTACATCAAACTCAGAGGTCAAACCAAGTTATCATAGCTAAAATATCTAAAAATGAAACATTACATTCAAACCACTGACTTCAGAAACAACTACAACTGAAGCACCTACAACTGAAGCACTTACAACACCATCGTCAACAACGGAAGCACAAACAACAGAAACGCCTACAACAGAAACTCCAACGACGGAAACGCCTACAACAGAAGTAACAACTACAGAAACGCCTACGACAGAAGTAACAACTACAGAAACGTCTACAACAGAAACTCCAACGACGGAAACGCCCACAACAGAAGTACCAACTACGGAAACGCCAACAACAGAAGTACCAACTACAGAAACGCCTACAACAGAAGTACCAACTACGGAAACGCCCACAACAGAAATTCCAATTACGGAAACGACTACCACAAAAGTACCAACTACAGAAACGCCTACAACAGAAGTACCAACTACGAAAACGCCCACAACAGAACCACCAACTACAGAAATATTAGCAGTTGTTGATACAGAGGAAACAACGCTGACGAGTTCTATTATTACAACGAGTATGTCTGCGGCAGGTTTACCAGGTATATGAGATGATGTTGTAAATACAAAGAGATTATATGTGTATGTGTACATTGGCCTTTATTCCTTAAAAATATTTTACACTTGTCCAACCAGTTCATGTTACATATTTATGACTAATTCGTATCTGAGATGTTTGTAAAATCCTAGTTTGTGTTACGATAAAATTTCTTATATCATATAAACCACACAATTTTATACTATACGTTTGTGGAACAGATTATCAGTTCCGTTATCCGAAGTCAGACATGATTGATACTCGTTAATTTGTCTGTTGGTTCCGTTCTTGTATACCCTGTTCTGATGGCTTACTAGGATTGATCGTTGCTGGTGTCGTCGATGAATCAGAAAATGCTTACTCTTTTGGAACACCTGGTCTTATTCTCCTTGTACTTTTTTTTATCTGAGTTTGGATTATGATAATATTGACATGTTGATATTTTCTTTTCTTGTTGTTGTTTTTTCATTGGAACCCAAGATTGGTTGGTTTAGATACAGCGAACTTTAACCTTAAACTTACCTACTGCTTTCAGTGTTAGAGATTAACTTCATTCTCAGTATTGTATTGTGATTAACGTCCAGCTATACCAGAAGTTATCTGATGTCAATAGTATTTGAAGTTAAGTAGATGCAGACCTACCTGCTCTAAAATATGACATAAGGTTGTGATCCAAGTAAAAGTATGTGTGTTCCACAGAAATTAAGTATAAATCATATCTAGCAAATCCTTTACTTTTAATATTTTTCCTGTTTAAAACAGATGACATCATGTTTAACATTAAAATTTTAGGAGCAGATACATCAACAAAAACGCTGACAACGAAAGAGACGACAACTGAAGAAAATATCATACACCTAAAACCGAACGAAGTCAACGTAGCCGAAAAGAAGGTTGGCAATAATGAGGACGATGGAGCAGGCACCAAAGACTCAGGTGAATTCGGCGATGGTTGCAAGCCATACTGTTATTAGAATATATTAATATTTTATTATGAATAGAGTAAGGATTTCAATATAAAATCGCATATTTTAACCCATAGGACATGTGATCTAGAAATGTCTCTCGATTAGTTTATTACATTTCAAATCAACTCCTATCACAGCACTGCCAAAACAACTATAACTTATATCTCTGTTCCTGGTTGTCCCTTTGCTATTGACCGAATTAGTTCCTGTGAATATGGTGCTTTCTAGGGAACTTTGATGTTGGAGAAAGCAAACGAATTATGAAATGAATCTTTATTGTTTTGTGCTATGATATGCAATTATGTATCTTATGTTTATTATGATTGTTTTCCATTTTCAGGACTTTTAATCATCTTGATAGCCTTGGCTGTGATTCTTGTCATTGCAATAATTCTAATGGCATTGGCTTACAAAAGGTGTGTATATAGCGTGGATCTCATATACACGTAGAAGAATTATGTATTTATGTATGTATGTATGTATGTATGTATGTATGTATGTATGTATGTATGTATGTATGTATGTATGTGCATGCGTGCGTGTTTGCATGTATGTATGTATGTATGTATGTATGTATGTATGTATGTATGTATGTATGTATGTATGTATGTATGTATGTATGTATGTATGTATGTATTTATGTGTGTGAGTGTGTGTGTGTGTGCGTATCTAGTATGTATGTATGTATGTATGTATGTATGTATGTATGTATGTATGTATGTATGTATGTATGTATGTATGTATGTATGTATGTATGTATGTATGTATGAGTGTATGTATGTGCTAACATATACAAGAATTTGTGTTCATATGCGTGTGTGCGTGTGTACTTGTGTATGTGTATCGATGTATGTATGTATGTATGTATGTATTTATGTGTGTGAGTGTGTGTGTGTGTGCGTATCTAGTATGTATGTATGTATGTATGTATGTATGTATGTATGTATGTATGTATGAGTGTATGTATGTGCTAACATATACAAGAATTTGTGTTCATATGCGTGTGTGCGTGTGTACTTGTGTATGTGTATCGATGTGTGTTTGTTATAATGTGTGAAATGTATCTGTCGTTATTGTCTATATAACAATTTAAAAAATGATATCAGAACAGAGCACACCATTTTATCATATTACATCTTAACTAGAATTGAATGTATCCTAAATATCAGAAGACAAAAAGTTAACAAATTTACAGATACAAACACAATTTATAGAAAAAAAAAATTAATTAATTGCAGTTCAAAGTAATTGCTGTATCTAACTCTAAATTTGAATTAAAAGGTCAAATTGTCGTGCATGTCAGGATGGCCCTCTTTTCAATTAATGAACAACACCAGTATTCGCTTCTTCATACAAGAAATTTATGAATACTGTGCTTATAGTGTCAACAGTGTCGAAATATAATAGCTCTGATGGCCTGCAATAAATATTGCATAAAATGAAATAAAAAATAAATATATATAAATAAATATCTATTGATTTATTAGGTACAAGAAGAATAGAAGCTACCAGAAAGTAAGCCTGATGACAGTGACACCATATCCAAAATCAAGCAGTGGGACCCATGCCACTCAGACTCCTCCATCACCTGTTAAAACGCCAACACCCAGAAAACCAGCAAGAACGACCAGTATGAAAGAGAACAGAATGCTCTTGGATATTTCACAAGGCAATTTCGTATCCCAGAGCGACCAGTACGTACCAGGAACGCGTGATGACGTGAGCTGGAACTTGCCTTTCATCGACGCATCACGTGAGACGTTAGATAATATTGATGAAACGAAACCCGTAATGGTGCGAAGAACAATACTTCTCAGTGAAGATGAGGCCAGCAACCTGAATATAGGTCAACCAAACGCTTCCGTCGATTTAGACGACAAAGTTTCCCATTCACATTCCAATCAAGATACTGATGCACCAGAATGCAAACCCATGTTGAATTCCATTGAAGGCGATGATGATATATTTGACGATAACATCGACTCACAGTTACCGAGATCTCCCAGTGAACGTATTGACTTGCTTTTCCGACAATCACTTAGTGGGGAAAATGAGTGATTTGTTTATAAAATTCATTGTGATTACTTACCAACCAAGGCCTAAGTTTAGATTACCAAACCAATCCAGATGAATTTCTTTAGATTTAGTTTTTTTTCCTCAAATAAATTTAATATAAGACAACTTTTACAGTCTAACATTTTTAGTACATTGGCTAATTTGCTTATTAACCTGCACTCTAATAGCATGACACTAACCCTAAAACGTCGACCCATTTTTTAATTTTTTTAGCATTATTCTTTTTTTATCGCATTTGCGAATGTCATTAATCATTATTGTTTGTTTTTTATTTGAAATATTTTGTGTATTATTTTATCAATTGCTTTAATTGTTTTAGTTGTAGTAGCGATGGTCTCTTAAATAATGATAATGTAGATCAAAATTTACCTGTTCAGTTGAAATATTTTTTGTGACAAAATTGTTTATTATACATTTTGTTCTACCGGTTTTTAATGTCATATGATATATTTACAGCTACATTGTACATTTCATTACAACTGATTCATTTCAAAGCTTTAAAATTCAGGAAAATAATCTACCTTCCAGGTCTGCTTTATGGACTACGATCGAAATTAAATGTATTGCTCTATGATTACTTAGATACTTAAACCTTGTGTCATTTGAGTCTCAATCAGTAACAGTGTTATATCAGAATTTCTGAAATTTAGTAAAATTCTACTCACAAGTCAAATAAATTTAAATGACCATCGGAGATAAATGAAAACATTATGTATGTTTGTATTTGGCAGCGATAAGTATAAATGCAAGTCAAACATTTTCTTATTCGCGGTACTGGTTTTACTCTAAATTTAATATCTGAATTATAACTTTTTTGTATCTTTTCAAACAGCAAGAACTTTCACTGTCTGCAATATTATTCCAAAGAATATATTTGAATGGTGTCCATGGTGAATAATATCAAGGACAGCATAAACCACAAAAATCGTTGGGAAATATGCTAATTTACAAGTTTTGAAACGCTTTATTATATTTTGACTATATACTGGTTTTATCAACATATTGTAACAACACGGGCTGCTTTGGAGCTATATGCTACATCACTACAATACAATTTGAAATTTCCTCGTTTATCAAAATCTTATTATGAAAATTGTTTAATTGCAATTGAAGTTAATGTTGGTGTATAGAAATTATTGTTTGTATTGTTTACAAATTTATATACGTTCCAAATAATTGTGATGGGGAGAATGTTGTTGAAATATATATCCATTTGAGCAAGAGGACCAATGTCATCGTTCCACGCCATGATGTAGAAGATTTGAAAAAAAAACCAACTTTGACCTGTAATTTCATGTGCTTCAACCTACAACAATTGAACAAAATAACAACTAGGACCATGCAACTACATTTTCACGACAGTATCATGTGTATCAATGAAGTTTTAAGGAAAACACCTATAAAAAACAGGCCTTCGATATTGTCTACCGAAGGAACTAGTGACAGAGACACTCATGCTACTCTACTAAAAAAGGGAGATAATCCTGTGATGACAGACATTTATACGAGGTACGTAGATCATGTAATTACAATGTGTGTATATCAACTTTATATCTATGAAAACCTTTGATTTCTCGCATAAGGGAGAAAAACATAGCGTACAAAATATGTACACAGGTAAGGCTTGATAGGATAATGCATTAAAACGGGGAAAAGGGGAGAAAAACGACCAATTTGATTACATATAATGAAAAGAAAGTATAAAAAGAAAGAACAAATTAGAGTTCAGGAACAAATATAAGGTATAATTAGCACTATAGATTAACAACTTAGATAATGTTAAGATATTACTGGATTTGTGCAAAACGAAGTGGGATAGACACAATAAACAAAGTTGAATTGATGCGGGATATCAGGAACGGTTAAGGAATGGAAAGAAATAAGGACAGAGGAGAATTTATAATATAAAAGTAAGGGGATGATATAACGGAGTGTGTAAGGGAATGCGTGTATTATATGTGAGCAGTTATCAATTGAATCAATGAAGAGAAAACGAAAATTAACATATATCTGAAAAATAATGAGAAGTATAGAAGAAATGAAGGGAAGATGTGGAATGATATACCGGAGTGATAGAAATATTCTGGAACAGGTCATGCTTTATGTACATTTCAGTTTTAAATATCATGTCATCATCGTGGACTTTTACCCTATCAACAAAAACATCCCTTATGGCTGATAGTGTAAGCTCGTTTATACGAGTCAATGTCGAGAATACCTCTTTTAAGGTTCTGACAATTATGGATATCAGATTTTATCATAAAATGTACTTTCATCGCACTGAAGCTGAAAATCACACGAAGATAAGCAAGGTGATTGCGATAACATTAATTTTCACTATGAAACACTGTTATCTTTCAGAAATTATATATCAAACAAACTATGTTTGATAAACCTTGACATAAATTTAAATCTTTGTGGTATTTTGTGGTATTGGGTTATATGTAGGTCTTAACAGAAGGGTACTATGACGGTTTCCGGTAGTCGTCTTTACACTCCTTCACTGCACATACACACATCACACATGTCTACTCAGGCGCATTTTCTCTAAAAGAAGATAAAATTATAGAATATGTGCTCCACTCCTTTTCCCGAATCTGCCTCTTTCACGATCGATCTAACATATCTCATTTCCCCCAAAGTCTTTTGTTTTGGAAATGTCCTTATATCTTCGCATGTCCTTGTTTGAATCAGTCATATTCTACGCATCTACATAGAACAGTATAAATATGCACTCGTTCGTTGTCACTTATCCTTGTGTTCCGTCTGCGTACAATCATTACGGATGTCCGCACTAACTAGGTGACGCCTTGTCGTTTGTCCTAGTACATAAGTATCACTTACACACCATACCATCATAAAACCATCGACACGTATATGTAAGTAAGATTTATTTTTATTTCACTAATTTTTAAAACAACGTGACTTATTCAGTGCAATATTGGTCAACTATTTTTAAAATGTCGAAAAGTGTCAAACGTTGAGTACGGCATATTTACAGAGATAGATCGATGGCGTGCATGACAAATCATGCCTCGCTTTTAGAGTATTTGGCTTTTGTAATAACTAATATAAATATCTTAATCATTGTTTGAACAACATATTTAATCATTCCGCAATTTGTAGATAGTATTTTTGCCAACATGAATACATTTTAATAGGCAGTATCTTGGCGCAAGTGTCAGGTTTGTTGATCTGTCAAACAGTTAAACTATGTATAAATACAATCTTTCCACTGGTCGACAGAAAAAAATAATTTCATACTTAAATGGTAATTGATTTCCTTATGTCATCTGGTAGGTTCAGATTTCATACTTTCTGCTAATAAGAACTACTGAAAATACATTTGAGCCTGGTTCTACATAAACTCTATAACATTAAACAGGCGATAACTCCTCTCTTCTACTACACAGCTAGTCTGGTGATATACTCTCTAACATCTAAACCAGCTATAAAATTTCTGCTAGTTCCACAAATCTTAAAAGGCCTTGTTTACAACTTATAACACAGTAAATCCTGGTTATATCCTATAGCTAATTCTTGGTATATACTATATAACGATAAATCCTCTAGTTTTACACAGCTAATACGTGTTATGTGCTCTATAACAGCTAGACAATCAATACCACCTCCGCTTATACTATCTAAACGATAAATTATCTAGTGTTACACAGCTAATCCCGGTTATTTACTCTATAACACATAAACAACGAATCTCACCTCCGCTAAAATTACATAGCTAATCTATGATATAAACATTTCTTCTTATACACATCTATGTTTTACGTTACATTAGGCCATATATGAAAGTCTCTCCAACTTAATAGCTAGTTTATAAAGGGCTTCACACCTTCTAATGTTAAATATCATTTTTGCAGTAATTTGAATCTGACTGTACCACAAAAATGGATTCGGCTGTTGGGACAACCGAGTATTTACAACCAAACTATGCAAACGTGCAGCAGAAGGACGAAAATGATCACCGCAAAAAATATGAACCGTCTGGTAAGAGCTGTATTGCATGGCATGACTAACCCAAAGGTTTACTTATCGTTTTTAATAAGTAATTGATTAATTAATGAAAATTATATTCGTTTGCTTTTAATTTCAATTGATCCATTAATCGCTGTCAATTACATTCGGTTACTTCCATGGCGCTAAACCATGACTTAAACAAATAAACAATAACAAAATCTGGCCTAAGATTTATAAATATTGTAATTTCTACTTGTTTCAGTACATGTCAGGACATCCATCTGACAAACATTGAATTGAACACTGAATACATAACTATTATCTTTTCGATATAGTGATTTCTTTACATATGACTACTTCCAACAGGTCTTGTCATGCTGTTAATAGCCTTGGCGGTGATTTTCCTCATAATCGTCATCTTACTTGCTTTCGCTTTTCACAGGTAGGTGGATGTCGATGAACAATATTTAGGAACATTTTATTTGGTGTTTAGGATTCAATGATTTTTCAACGTGTTCTAAATATTAATATATATATATGATTTATTAATAGATCTCTTATTTTAACTATATGAAGAATTTCATACACGTAAGGGGTGTGTTTGGGAGGAAAAACAGTGTTTTGTGAGTTTCATCAAAATCAATCCATGCTCTGTCATATTATGTAATGATGCCGAAATGATATTATATATGTGCATTATAGAAATGATAGTCATGTTTGCAGTTCCCTTTTTAAGATAAACAGATATTTGTTTGGCTGTATGTGGGACATTACGTAATATTATTAATTTAATTATAAATTATTCAACTCTAAGTCATTTAGTTAAAGTTAAAATGTCATAATAAGAAACCGTATGGTTACGAGACTATAAAAATCAAGAACAGAGTGTTATGTAAATTCAAATCTGATATCTTAAATATTTGAGGAACGATTAATCATATATTTGGTCAGCCACAAAGAAATTTGTATAGAAATGACACACATTATATATCTTGAGCCACCCAAAAAGAATTTTGTATGAAAGTGACACACATTGAATATATCTTGTTTTCTATTTTATTTTTATTTTATTAAATTCGAAAACTTGTTTTAACAGGTATTGGAGGCGAAGAACTGATCAGAAAATCCGTTCGGTGACCGCTCAGTCGCATCAGATGCTAAATAACGGAACGGTCGCTACAGAGACTCAAACATATTCCCCAGTCAAAACACCTCCACAAAAACCTGCCAGGTCAAGTTTGAAGACTGACCAACACCGAATTTCTTACGAGAACGTTCTCTTAGACGTATCGCAAGGCCGTTTCATTTCCCAGAATGACCAGTTCACACCAGGTACTCGCGATGACGTCAGTTGGAACTTACCTTTCATTGATGCATCACGTGACTGCCTGGATAAAATAGATCAAACGGAACCCGTTACAGAAAATCTAGGAGAATCGAAAGCTTCATATAATATAGAAAACATTGAATCACAATCACAGACAGACCTTAAAAACAATTCTCCGGAAAGGGAGCCAATGCTAGACAACAACGATAACATTGATGACGAAGATGATGTTTTCGATGATAACACGAAGTGTCGTTTACCGAGATCCCCAAGTGAACAGATCGATCTTCTGTTCAGAATTTCACTAAGTGGGGAAAACGATGCATAAATTCTCCTGACATTTTAGATGGTAAAACGTCCTCTATAACCTACTAGTGAAATACATGTGCTTACCTGCAATAAATTCAACAGCAATAGCGTTAATATTTTGTTTTGATTGTCATGTCTGATAAAATTTGATTTATGTGCATATCATGCAGAAAATACCTTAATCCACTTCAATTGTTGTGAAATATAAACAAGGTAGGGAAGCAGGATGGAATTTTTTTGCAGTTTCGAAGAGCTCCTTCAAATTTAGTATAGACATTTGTCGACCGAATTGTTTTGTAAATAACCACTTCTTTACAATGTTAAAATCAGATACATGAATAATTTCGACTTATGCCTCAACCACACCTGCATGTACATTTTCCTATTTGATATAATAAGCATATGTAACGCCATGGATTAAAATCCATATCCAGGCTCTTATCAGATGCTTTCTAAACTTACTTCGCTGCGCAGTTTTGCCAACGGAATAATATGACTTTACGATGCATTGCCTGTTTTCTGTGTACCTATATATACTCCTGATGTGTACGCACGAGCTGTATTAGATCGCTTATCATACATATAAATGCATCTGAATGTGTAGGTCAATGACTTATGTTTTTCATTTAACCTTTGAACATATCGTTATAAATGCCCTTGAGTCGCATGCGTATGCATGTATGTATGCCATAAAGTAATATTTACATGTATATTATATCTTGGGAGTAAACATATATGTCAGATATATATAATGCTTCATATTATAACTGATTTATAATGCTCCTTAAATGTCTATCTGTTTACTTTACGGACTGTGCAATGGTAGTTCAATATAGTGTGATTGCTTAATGTGCTAGTATTGTATCCCTTTCGTACAATTTATCTCATGATTTGCTGTTCTCACATCAGCTTTTTGATATCTATATATGTGTAATTGGTTACCTGAATTTTCATTTTACCCTATGTATTCCTATGATATATAAGAATAGCTATTATTTTTGTTATTTAAACCGGTGATAACATGTTTTAATGCAATAACGACCATTTGAACTGTTTCAATGGAAGTAATGCAAATTTTATTTCCTGCATGTTTGTGGGTTTAATATTTCAAGGTGACTGAATAAGGCCATACTGATACTTATTCTATATCAATGCCCTAGCTCAGTAGGCTGTGGTCCTGACATATTAACATTATATACTCATTAGGTAACCTAGAACCCAAATATAGCTACATAAAACCAACACATAGTACCCTAGTATCCTTACGTAACGACATGGGTTCTCGGAAGTCCTTACATATTAAACACAAGTGCATATCATCTTTCAATACGAAAGAAAACATTACATACAGCTGATTCGTCCTTCAGAGACAAAGGTGACTAACAAAGGAATTTAGAATGCTTGCTAACTTAGTTATTTAAAATCCTTAGTTGGTAAGCTATCCTAGGACCCTAATTGAATATGTTATTTAGACTGATTAAATGTTCTTTTGTCATGGCTCTAGGTTACTAAGTTAGGACTTACAAAGAAAAAATATGCATGTCCTGTTGACAAATCGTACAATCTTAAAGAGAAATGTTCATGCTTGTACACGTGGCCATTGGATGTAATATGTACAATTGAACTATTTTTCACACATTATTTTATGTAAAAGGTTTATATTATATATTATGAACATAAATGATTTTGGTACCCTTTACTTAAAGGATTTGTCTCTACGTATTTTTGTTTTTGTATGAAAAACTTTATCAATGAAATAAAGAATATTTTCCATGCACCATCGTATTCCATCATTATTGACACGACATATCTCCCTTTGACGTTAATAATTATCCTTATATTTTTATATTGATAAATTGTGATATGTGAATGAACATCCTTCGGATACTCCGAAGTAAGAAAATAAGAAGCTTTTGGTGGACATGAACGAGAAAAGTTTGAAATTCAATGGTATTTATCGAAGGATTCTCATATGAAATCAACGGAAGCTCAAGATAATCTTTAAATATAAATGATTAGAGTGCATTTTGATATTTTTCATTTCCTTATCATATGTTAAGTATTTTAGTTTGCATATAAATACCATCCCTGGGATCTTTGTAGCTAGACTAGAAACAGTAAAAAGAAATTATATAGCTCCTTAATTGCTGAATTTTTCGAAAAGCTTTCCAAACAGACCACAGAGATCGTGTTAAATCCTTTTTTTATTTTAAGATGTATTAATGATATCTTGTTATTTAAATAACATTATATTTATTGTCCATGATATTCGTACAACACAAATGTGTACACTTACCAGAAGAGGAAATCAAGGACAAGACGAGGTTTTTCTACATTATGCGATTACCTCGTTTTTAACAACAAGGAAATAAACAGTGAAATTTTTCCCCTTAGTTGTATGATTAGCGTTATAATCTTCTTTTTCATTTTGTGAAATCCTATTTCTATGTAGTAACCGACCTGTTTCCCAAATATTTGATGTTAACATGTTTCAGCTCATTCGATATTCAAGGGACTTCGAGCGATACTGGCTGATGGCGGTTGTGGTGGTTTTATGGCTGTGGCAATGATTCTAATAGAAAGTATTGTATTCTTTTTACTTCAATATGGAGTTAGAAATGGTTGATGACATGACTAGTGGTTTCGTCGCTGTTGACTTATTCTTATTTGGTAACATAATATTTCTGACATGGATTGACCAATAATTACATTGAGGATATCTTCGATAAAGCAGAAATCGTTTACCATTTGGAAACACATATCTTACTTTCTTTGTACTTTTAGCTCAAGTTTCAGATAATCTACATTTTATTGACATGTAAAACTGACGTCAAATAAAGATTCCGAGAAAAACTGATGGCCACAGATTATTCTCATAATAACAAGCGCGCGAGGTATAAGCAGGCTCTGTGACTGTTGATTTTAACATAGGAATGCCACAAGAACAAGTGATCTGTTCTCATCTCACACATATTTTGAATTTCAAAAATGAGTTCTAGTGTATAAATCTAGTAAAAAAATGATACAGTAAATGATAAGGTAGAATTAAAAGAACTTCATCGTTCCATGATACTATCACAATGGTTGCTAACAACATACACGTGATGTTCCAAAACAAACAAAAAAAAAGAGAACTGGTGATAGCTATCTTGTACCCTCAATTTTGTTGTGACGACTGATAACTGCTTCAAGGTGGTTGGAGCACGAACAAAAATGTTAAATATGGACCTTTGCTAAACCCAAAAATATATCTATAGCAGTAAAACGGATCTCCGTAAACAGCAGTTTGGAGTTGATTGGAGTAAATGGAAGCCCATTCTTGAACTTTTGTAAGTCTTTCCTGGAAATTGTTCATCTTCAGCTACAATATAGATTTTATTGGAATTATACTACTATTAGTAACCTTCCGTTTTTGAATGATAATGAATGGATGACAATGATGATCAAGTAAAGTATACGTAGTAAGATGATGATGATGATGATGATGATGATGATGATGATGATGATGATGATGATGATGATGATGATGATGAATGGATGATTGCTGTGATGATGAGAATGATGAATGCAGCAGTGTTGTATATCTGTAATGATTTTCTTGTTATTGTAGAATTGTCTACAATGTATTGGAAAATAAAAAAAAAATTAATGAAAAAAAAAAAAAAAAACACAAAGAAAAAAAAAAGAGAAACGTGTTGATTCAGTGTCGGCATACTGTTTTCCTACAAAGAAAAAATACTGCTATTATCCTCGAGTCTTGAGATCTTCCGCTTGTCAAGCGTTGCACTTGACTTATTATGCTTTTGATGCAGACAAGTGTTAGCAGTATATATCTGGAAAACCCGGTATACGGTAACCAAACAAACTTCTAAACATTTAATACATTAACATTTATAAACATTGATATGATATTATAGTGGAAGTGGAGACACCATGAATAGCCAACCATTGTCGTATATCAACGTTGCTGGCGTCCTCTACCGGACCTCAAAACTCCATCTCCGTCACACTTATTTTGCCTATGCAATCATAATAATAAATGATATTATTCCTGTAGACAGCTCCATGGTATCTCCACTCTCCCTAATATAACCTTTTTAGTATCATCGCGCTCCTCTTTGTGTCTCCACTTCTCCAGCGTCTTTGTGCTTTCATCATCTCAGCTCATTTGTGTCTTCATCATCGTTTACAAGCTCTTTTGTATCTTTGTTCCCTCCCTATCTTTTTCATGTCTTCAACTTTCCATCTGCTTTGTTTCTTCATCCCAAGTTCATTTGTATCTTCATGTCATCAATCTCTTTATGTCTCCACTTCTCTTCATTCCATTACCTAGCTAATTTGTGTGATCACGTCTCTCCAGTTACTTTGTGTCTTCAACACCACTCTAAGCCCCTAACCTAACTACTTTGTGTAGTCACGTCCCTCCTGCTACTCTGTGTCTTCAACACCCCACTCAGCCCCTTCCCTAACTACTTTGTGTCGTCACGTCCCTCCAGTTACTTTGTGTCTTCAACACCCCTCTCAGCCCCTTTCCAAACTACTTTGTGTCGTCACGTCCCTCCAGTTACTTTGTGTCTTCAACACCCTCTCAGCCCCTTCCCTAACTACTGTGTATCTCCTCATGTCCCTCCAGTTCCTTTGTGTCTTTAACTCCCCATACCTATGATTATGTACTTTGTGTCCTCCCGCTCCTCAAGTTGCTTTGTATCTGCACGTACCCACACTCTGTTGTGTCTTCACCTTCTGTGGTTCCTTTGTGTTTACCTCTGCCTAGCTACTTCCAGTTACACGTAGAACAATATCTTACAAATATCACTCGTAGTGTAAAAGATTATAGGTGATAGAGAAGTCATTTTTACATTGGTTAAACAAAAGCGTTGTATCAATAATAATTGAAAAGGTTTGTCATGCTGAGTAAATCACCTCAACAATATGGAAAATATCAGTGTCTAGAAGTTGTTCTATACATATAAATTGCCTCAAATTTGAAGAAAAATACCAGCTATGTCAAGCTACAATGAATGACATCAGGTTATACCAACGTCTCTGAGGACTCGCGGACATGCATATACTGTACGGAAGTCCTACTTTCAATCAATTTATATACTTTCCTAATCCAGATAATGAATTAAGTTATTTCAACATGGCAAAGACAATATAAGTGAATTATATAATACAAATAAAGTATAAGTTTGTGAGGTGAAAATGTGAACTTTATAAAATAGATTTTGTTGACAGTCTTTTTTTTATTTTAAACTCAGAAAGATATTTCGTTGCTCAGTAGATTAATATCCGTCCATGCCACAAACAAGAAAGTGCAAGAACGGAAGGATTTTCAACGTCAATTCTATTATAACGTAATAAAGATCGCTCACATCAATCCTAGTAAACAGGTTGTAAAAGTTTAAGACATGTATTCAACAATTAAAAATGATGAAAACGAATTAAATGTGAATCCTGTGATGAGTATATTAGGATACATTATGCATGATGACAAAATGTAAATCTTGCCAAAACATTTTTTTCTCTGTTTAGTGAACAGTGAGGTGTGCCCATCAATTAAAGTTGAACGACATACATGTAAAAATTAGTCCACGTATTCAATATTTGATATACACACTGTCGATTTTCTCTGTATAGTTCTGCTTATGATTTTTGTGACAGAAAAGTCTTTGTGTTAGGTAGGAAAGACACCGTGGCGTCACCCTGCCTCCAATATGACTTGATGATTTCGGATATGTCAGTAGAAGTGTTCATCATGGAGCTCTTAATCATGCATAAACGTGGCAAACATCCTCATTTTTGTCCTTGAGGACAAGTACCATAAATACCATACTATGATATTGCAGATCCTGTAATCAAAAATCGAGTTTACAACATACTATAATATGAAATTGTTGAGCCAGCAGTTACCACCAGACTTTCCACATACCATTTTATAATGCAGTCACGCCGGGCTTCCAAAATACTATAAAATGATAATGTAAGGCCTGCGGTTGAAGGCAGATTCATGATGTTGCAGTGCCTGAAGTCTACATCAGGTCAGTCACATAACATAATACGACACTCAAATGGCCGCAGTTAAACGATAATTCATCATATTAACGCGCTAGATGGAATGTAGGCAAAACATAATGTACCACGATACACTCCATGCCCATTTAACAATTCTGGGATATACCAGTCAACGTGTTCGTAACTCCTGAATGACTAAAACAAATGTATACAGTTTAACAAAACCTGCACACATAGAATGTAAAATAATGAAACAATGACATGTCATAGAATATACAGTTATACATTTTAGCTATCAAAATCACTATCTTCAAATAATTTTGAATAATATATACATATCTTGTGTGAACATATTATCGACAGTTGTCTATGCAGGGTTTTACGAACTTAAGCTTCATTTTCAATAAAAATAGTATACTATAAAGTGTCGGCGAACTGATTAAATAAACATTTTTTGCGAGTGGTCATGGCTAACTGGGATTCAAGACACAACTTAAACACTATCAATGTTAAGAAAGCTAAAGGACCGAAATGGACATTCGTGATAGCGGGAACAGATAACTTGTATACATTAATTGCCAAAGCGGTGTCATCTCTTGATTTGGCCTGACATGAATACATATCCTTCGCATACTTGACTGATTAAAATGTATTAAAACAAGTCAGTGAGGACTCTTTTGTATCCACGGAACATGTGTATATATATCATTTATCATTTATCCTTCCTTTTAAGATGACCTTGTTTCAGTGAAATGGATTTAA